ACACATATGTGAGAGGAACCAGTGCAAGATTGCAAGGTGTCAGTCAAAGAAAAAACCCAGAGGAGTGGCAGCCATTTTGAACTGCTGTATGGCTTTAACTGACCCACTCTGACTGGTTGTAGTTGATGAATGTAATACAACAAAACGTCTTGAGAAAGGCAACATAAATGATGAAGAAAGTGTGTGTGTGTGTGTGTGTGTGGGGGGGACTACAATGCTTTAGCAAGGAAGAAATCTAGGTTCAACGGGTTTAAGGGCGGTGCTCTATTTTGAGACCAAACCTGTTTAAAAATCATGAGTGAATGGCCACGGACAAAAGCCTGTTTACAGAAAAGAAAACTAAAACACCCACCTTGCTCTTCCCAACAGGAACCATTTGCTAAAGGTGACAAAGTGAGGCGCTTATGAACAGGAAAAACCCTGGCACCAGCCATTCGTTTCCCCTTTTGTTTTTAGCACTGCTGCTGTGCATTACAAAACAGGGCAGCTGTGAGCGGGTTGGTGTCGAGTGGCTTGACTTTGGTGCAAAAGCTCTCTTGGTTGTTTTTCTTCTGCCCAGCTCCTTATTTGCTCCCGCCTGACAACACCCTCTGAGCAAACACACTTGGAAATGTGCTTGTGGGTTTTGCAATCTAGGTTTCACCTCACACAAAGTATTTGGGTATTTTAATTGACTATTATTTGGTCTCCTTTATAGTCCCGTTTAGTTACATGAAAGAAAGAGACAGACAGGACCGGGGGAAAGGGTGGGAAAGGAAAAAGAGAAGAGGGTTAATGTGGTGGAGCCTAAAATGGCTGCCTGCAGTTCAAAAGGTGGAGAGACAGAAACTCTGAATATTGGTGAGCTTTTTATTTTTGCTGTTATAGGCTCAGCCAAGTATCACAAGAACGCAAGACAGGCAGCGTGACAGTGAGAGAAAGAAAAAGGAAATGAAGGACAAAACATAAGGGTGCAATAAAACAAGAACAAGAGAGAGAGAGCAGAGAGCAGAGAGAGCAGAGAGAGCAGAGAGAGAGAGAGAGAGAGAGAGAGCGAGAGAGAGATGATTACGTAGATTGCCTGCCTCACCCCCCTTTCGGCCTTGTTTTTTTCCCCCCTCAGCCTCCTCCTCCTCCATTATTCTCCCAAGAAGCATTGCTTCTCGGCACGAAACAGAATTAACCAGCACAGCCCTCTGCAACACCGCTCCCCCAGCGCAGAGGAAATGCTGCGCCCCATTGGAGCAGCTCCAGAGCTTCTGCGCCAATAGGAATGCACCGGTGAGGCAGGCGTCAGAGCGACTTGTTTTTAACCCCGTTGTGCAAGACGGCAAGCTACACAACACACAGCAGCTGCACAGGGGAAGCTACAGAGAGGGGAAGGTAGAAGGACTGGTGCTATATCTGTCCCCGAAATAAAAAGGAAAGGCAGAAGGTATTCCAAGTCAGTCTCTGATACAACAGGGGAAATCAGGAAAACAATCTATGTGATGAAAAATTTATTTTTTACATTGATATTATTCATATGCTAAGAAAATACAGAGATATAGGTGTGACTAATAATCTTGCAGTCAAACCACAATTCAGAGTCAAAACGTTCACGACTGCTTCTCACTTGTGAATTTAATCTTCCATACAGGTGGAGAGTGACCACACTGGCTCGGTTGACTTGGTCACATAGGCACAACACACATGAAACCTTATTAACATATCAATAGCTACACCTGCCCTCCATGTAATGATACAGAGTGTCATCAGCATGCAAATGGAAGTGAAAAAGACAGGGTCCCCCCCACCCCCTTCCTATTCCTCACAGCAACACCCCCTCTCTCTCTTCTCCGACCGTCTGCACCAAGACAGAATCCTGTCTTCTTCTATTGGAAATGGGCCAACATCCTGCTTCACTCCCTCTTGTAAAAGCACACACACAAACCAGGTTTACATTCTGTACGCTGTATGATCCAGACTCATCAGAATACAGTGCTCCCCTATTCTGATCATGTTTTCAAGGGCACGTCATCTAACGGTTATATTTCTTGGTTTGTAACCACTCTGTGAATATGAATGAGTCCGGGAGACTTTATTTCTTTAGTAAACAGAAAACTGGGCCAGGCTAACCTTGAATGTCTGCACATTCCTCACATCTCCAATGTTTCAGAGGCCCATATTGGGAAAGAAGGGTCCACATCCTGCAGACAGATCCGCACATACAAGTACAGTGCTGCTCTTGAAGGCAGTCCTCTTTCACCAATTGTTGTAACTCAACACCTCTTACACATGTAGCTCACTAGAAAACACAATCTGAAGCTGCTAGGGAGGCCTACAAAAACCAACATGGCGGGTCAGTATACGACAGAGCAGCAACAAGCAGCCAGGCAGTACATGGCATGCTTTCCCAGGGTGGCAGGTTGAGTGAGGAAGGCACGCCAGGGTCAGGGGGAGTGCTGGAGGGGCTCGTGTTTCCAATGATTCGGAGTGGACAGGTTTGTAAGCTTGTGGCCCACACTGTCTATTAAAAGATGTGAAATATATTCAGAGAATGTCAGTCGCAACCAATGAAAACAAGGCTCAGCACACGGCAATCTGGCTTCCAACAAGCTTTTAGATCAATCCAAATACTTGGCACTGGCTGGACACCCCCAGCAGGGCACGGGTGTAATCTCTGTACTCATGAAGCAAGGTCGACAACAGCTCAGGAGCAAACACACTTACTTGAAGCTACACATACATTTTCAAACAGATTTATTAAGTGGATTTTTAACAACAAGTATGAATGATTATGGTAGACTCACTCGCACAACACATTTAAATTTTTAAAGCATTCAATCTAATCTTTTTTTGGGGGAAAAAAGATTTTTGAGTCAAAGGAGTAACATGACCAGTTGACTTTATGACACGTCAGACACAAATATGACTGCAGGAAGGCAGTCACACATCCGGAGCCACATTCATCGAGTTAAACATGTTTGATAGAGCAAATATAACGTCTGCTCTCTCGGTGCTGGTTGTGTCCACCGCTCCGCACTCCGGGCACAGCACAATGCGAGCCTACGTGGTGCAGCCGAGTGGAGCACAGCTACTCAGGCGGCGGTGAGGGCAGCCATTTGTGCTCGGGAGACGCGGGGTCCTAATAAATCAAAAACCCTCGCACAAACACACGCTATTTAATCTCTCAGCCATTTCCCAGCATCACTTGTCAACTGTAGTTGTGGCTGGTTCGCAGTTCCCAGTGTATTTCATTTTACCTATAAATGCTCATCAATTACACTAAAGGAGATAATATTGAGACTGATGTATGAAACCAGCCCAACAGAGTTGCAGATGAAGATGTGGCATTTTCTCACAGTCAAGAAAATATCTGAATCATCAAACAGCGAAATGGTGATTAAAAATAATAGCAGCTACGAGGTCTCGAACTTGGTCGAAACTTGTGATTGCTCCGTTCCGGATCAACAATGCAACACTTACTCACACGTTGAAATAAAAAATGGATGCTAAAAAAGGAAACAAGAGCTCCCCTCTAAAATACCACCCATTTCTGTTAACCGCCACCGAGGCTGGGGGTTGGTAGGTGGGGGGAGGTGAAGAACAGCAAGTCACTAGCCAACATATCTGATTTTCTGATTGCTGGGTCCCACACGCAGGGGGGGGGAATAACAAGCACAAATAGAGGAAAAACCGAGCTTTCAGCTTGATTCACACGCCTGAGCGAAGTTAGGAATGTTGCCAACGACAAATGCATTAACATGATGTAGCCAAACACCACCATGATGCAGACACCGTAGTTTTCATAAAAATAGACGTATTCGTCCAGAAAGCAACAGCAGCAACCAGTTCGCTTTACAGACACGTCTCCTGGTGTATAAGCTACATAACGAAAGGTTCATAGTGTGCGTGCAATAAAGTACTGGTTCAAAATGAAGACACAATCAACTGGAAAACATCCAAAAAGTTAGCTAAAGGGCTAGTATAGCAATTGTTGCCTATGGCTTGTCTGCTACCAACACAGCAGCTGGTTGCTTAGCTAACATGAGTCGCCCAATAATGATCAAATTGCAAGTTGTGTCATGGGTAACTTTCAACTAATTCGACAGTTTCCTGCTCCCAGAATAGCATTTAACACGTTGCTGTCAAAATAACAATGCAACAAATTGTTGTTGGTTCTAATAAAACAAGTTTGCATATTACCTTACGCGGTCTGATCCTGAACTTCCTAGCCCAATAGAAGGGTATATTCTGCTCTAAATTTAACCTAACAACAACTATGCAACAAACGCCAACAGAGTAGCTGTAATGTGCTGCTGATGATGTTTTGAGTGTGTAACGTTGAGGTATGTTAAACCTACATTATCGAAACTTGCTCAACAAAATAAGATTTTTTTTTTATTAATGCTTCAAAACCACAGACATGTGTTGCTAAACTATAGGGCTTTGGGGTAAAACTAAATTCCTCTAACGTTCATTGGCAATGTATCGTTATAACAATAGTTAATGTGACCGGTTCATCCCTGGTGTGAAAACTGAGGGAAAAGCCTGAACTGAAGACCCCTCTTATGGACTGAACGTTACACAACTCAAACTCCTGAAAACTTGCAGAATGTTGTTGAGAGCTTTGGGGACATGGTTGCTTGAAAATATGTTTTAACAGTGGCTATTATATAACTAGTAATGTGGTTGATTGCCAGACTAACAAGCTAGCTATCAAAAACAACACGAGGAGCTGGTCAAAAATCCTGAAAGATCAGTCCAGACAGCCAAGAGCAGCCCTGCAAGGCACACCGTCAATATAGGGAGCTTTTCAACCAGCCAAGCGAGCCGCTTGAAAGTGGAAAGATAGCGGAGGACAACCAACTTGTTCTAATAAACTTAAGTGGACGCTAACTAGTTAGCTAGCAAAGTTGGCTAGCTTCATGGCTATGTTTGGTTGACTGAAAACATGGTCAGTACGTAACTGTTATATATGTTACTGACTGCCTTATAGAGGGTGATATTAACAATTAACACAGATGTAAAGTACTCACCTAAAGAGGCATTCCAAACTTGTATAAGCGAGGCAAATTCAAGTACAGTAGGAAGTCCTTATAGTATCCCAACATCAAATCCAACCAGCCCAGTAGGCCTGTAGTCCGGCCTCGGAGTCTCCTGTATCCTTTGCCCTTAAAAGTAGCTCCCTCTCCAGGGGTAGGAAACAAACTTCTCAGTGTCTCCCACGCATAGACGGAAAGTTAAATTCCCTGTCCTGTTCAGGTGCACTGCATCCATTGAATGTCTATTATAGATCCCCGGTGGATAAATCCATTTATTTTAGTGTATTGTATATTTACAGTCGCTATTTATAATGGGGTATATGCTGCTGTATGTGATACAGGGCTCTGATTCTGTCTCGGGTCCTTACATTCGCCGAGGCGCCCATCCCCCTCCTCACCGGCATCGACCGCGGGTCCCAGCGAAACTGACACACAACCACGCCACGGGGTTTCCCTGGCGACCGTGCAGGGGCTCTCTCCTTGGGCGGCCCTTGCTGTGATATCCCGCCTCTCGCCAATGATTCGACGGCAATATGTCAGTCATGTTACACACGAGATATACATGCAAGTCTTTGGTATATTACAGCGTCCATTCTTTTTTTCCCGGCGACTACGTAAAACGGGGCGGGCACTGCTATGAGGAGGAGTGCGAAAATTCAGTTCCATTATGATATGTGTGTACTGGTGGCGTACAAGGAGGAGAGCAGGAGAGAGTGGCCGGATTCGGGAGACAATTTGACACCCAACAGAGGATCTGTACCTTCAAAGTTTCGGGAAATGCTCGTTATTAAATTCAAATGGCATGGAATTAATTTCAATTCGTTAGTGGGATTAATGCTTTTTATTTGAGGGTTACATTCATCAATCTAACGTGGAAGGAGCTTTCATACCAATACATAGTAGCGAGCGTTAGCTACACGGGGTCTCTGGGGCCCAGTTCCAGGGACACCAGAGGCAGGGTTAGCCCACTGGGTCAGCCCCACCTACCGGTATGTCAGATGAATGGAGTACGAGGTGTCGCTCTGGTAGCATCTGGTAAGGGGTTGGACAGGGAAATTGACCAGTGCTCCTGGGTTGCATCTACTTAATTCTGGTCCCTCCTACTTTTGTTCTCGCTGCTGATATGAGTCTCTTCCCACACTTGCAGCCACAGAAAAAGTGACCGACACAACGAAAATACTTTTAGCAGTAGCAGCGGCTCAATAAAACTCACCTGGGAGTTGTAACGTGACCAGAGGAACGGGCGAAAAAAAAAAAGTGTGTAACATTAATGTGATATTAGAATTTACAGAAAGAAAAGTGAGACGCAGCCCTTGTTTCTTGCTGAATAATGTAACTCGGTTGCCCTAGCCTATCACACATACACTGGATTTACAAAGCGTCAAATGGAGACGTTATTTTCAACCGATACAAGCAAATAAAAACTACTTTCGCCATTTGGACCGAGATATTTATAAACAAGTAGTCCCAATGACACGATTGGTTTCTTGTCATGTCATGAGACTTTGGGGACGACTTTGATTGGCTGTGGTGATAAATGCCAACGTCATTTGTTGCAGAGGTCTGACGAGCGATGAAATTAGACAGCAGAATAATACAATCGTTACATTGCGGCTGTGGGGGTAATACAATTAAGACTCGAGCTTCATAACGCAGAATTAGTCAACATAATGGTGGTTGTCAAAATATTCGACACATTTGCGTATGGATACGTGAAGTGAAGGTTTTAGGCCGAACAAAGCAGAAAGTAGTACAATACTATGCCCACTTATTTTATAATACCATAACTGTGGGCTATCCCTCGACATCAGGACGGTGGTTATGGAATCGGTGTAGTTGCCACCATTACGCAAATGAGGTAATACTGAATCCGTCTACGCAGGTATAGTTTTTAGCCATGAATTCTAAATAGGTGTCAACACAATCATTTTTTTAGTGGTCGGTGAATTACACGAAAGCTAACACCAACAAACCACAGCAACACTTTAATTTTGACGTTACGTAACATTTATCTTATCAGTTTTCTTAAAATAACGTTTAGTTTCCGCTTTCCCTTCCTGTTTTGTTCTTTTTTTTCTCCTTTATAAACCCCAACAGAATCGTTTCTGAGAGGACGTCATGAAGTTAATAATTAAAGGACCGTTTACAAGCCGGACTGCCATGGTAGGCAGTGGCCATATTTAACAATACTGCCATTGTTACTGCGGTAAAAAAGCAATGTCATATGGCCGGTCCAAACCACGCACTGCAACATGGCTGTGTTCAACCCTCCCCCACACTGCTTTCACTGCCACAGCCCCGGCAAATCTCTGGTCATATGCGCCAATCTGTTTGTTCGAGTCTGTAAGGGAAAAACACGATTCAGGCTGCTTGTTACTTAATCTGGAGGCCTTTTAATTGTCTCCATAGTCTGAAGCACTCACACAAATGACTTTATAACACAGGAGGTATCAAAGTGTGGACATGTTACTAAAATTGACATAACTTTGGGATTCCAATGGTCTGTTCAAATATACACTGCATGCATAACACGGCCATTTTTTTTTTTTTAAGATTTCTGTTACAAATGAAATCTTTGACATTTAGCTAAGAATTATGGGAGTGGCAGCTCATGGCCACAAATATTTGTTAGTGAGAACATAAGACACTCGACAGCTCACACACCATTCTTTGTGTTAAGATTATTAGTGTGCAAGACGTTTCACCAAGTCCTTAACGGTTGTCATACACAGAGTCATCTGCGTTCTCTCAAGCTGTACGTTGATCGACTTCATTATTGTAAACTTTCCACAACAGGCAATCAGAGTGCATAAAGTCAGGCCTAGTACAAACCTTTACTACATGACATTTTGGCTCCACAGACATTCTCTCCCACCATCAAATTCTACCAAGAAATCCAAAAAGTATAACTCAAGATTTTTTCCTTCTGTATAAAGAAAAAAAAATACAATACAACAAAGTCCAGTAACTGTGCATACTGTTAGGATGGCACACCACAGATTATACAGTATATGGCCTTAACAGGCATATGTATACAAAATATAGCCATTTATCAATAATAATAATAATAATAATAATAATAAGTAGTGTTATTGAGTCTATAGGGTAGGGATCTTTGGGAGAATAGTTGCATACAGACACAAAATCATTTAAACGTCAAAAATGAGTGTTCACATAGTTAAGTTAATAAGTTACCCTTCACTCAGGGGTAGTGGATCCAACAGGGGACTACTACATCTGATATGGGTGTAATTATAATAACATTATGTATTAGGCTACAGTACACGGCCCCTTGAATAAGTACGCATAATTACAATATTGGTCAACCATCAAACAAAAATGTATTTGACTTTGCCAAATCTGAAACTGGACAACAGACAAGAACTGTTTAGAAACTGATTCTAATAAGACTCCTCTAAGCAAGTGGCCTGTTAAAAAAAGAGAAAGGTCACCAAAAAAAAAAAAAAAAAAGACTGCCTTCGTCTTGCTCCCCTCTGAAGAACCGGTCTCTCTCCCCTCCTGCTCTCAACGGCCGACTAAGCGGCGACAAAGAATGAAAGGGAAACAAATGGCTGAGAGTGTTTGTTTTCTGGTGTTGGGACATTCCCCCGTTCTTAAGGTCTTTTTAAAAGGTTGTTACACTCTTGCATGCCAAGACTCTCCCTGCTGCTGGGAAATGCTGCCCCCTGCTGGTTGTACAGTGGCACTGCAGAGCCATGCCGCCCCCACTGTGGGTTTGAGCCCCTCAGAGCAGCTTCAGACTCCCAGTGACGTTGTTCACCATCTCCTCCTCGCCCATTATGGCCAGGACAGTGCGGGACCCAGCCTCCACCTGCCAGACAAAACAGGGGCTAGTTACTGCTGAGATTCTCAAATATCTTAATGCCAAGGCACAGTACAACACTGACAGAATCAAATATATTAGCAATAATAATGTGACAATATTTTGGGAATGACCAGTGCCTCCAAAATACAATTACACACAACACAAATGGTCTGTTTCCCTCACCTGGGTAAGCCCTGCATCCTGGACCAGGTAAGTGGGCAGGCTGAGGCTCATAGCCAGAGCCTGTAGCTCCAGTAGATGAGCCACATTTGTGCCCTGGACCACCACCTTCTTGGCACTGTATCAACACCATGCACATGAACGTATTCATTATTAATGTTTATTACAAATGACCTCCTTATTCAACAATATTGTAAGTGCTGGTAAAATATATCAAAAAGGATTTCTGTAGTCAACAATGTTGGAGCTGATGCAGAACACAGACAAGCCGTGGAGCAAGTGACAGAGTGGGGTGATTCTAAACAGGACAAGGACAACAACCAGCCAAGACAAAACAAGGGGCTACTTCTATCACACGGATGTGGTTTGGGTATGAAGTGTGTGACACAGTGGTCATTTTATATAAACTATGTATTCATTATGTGTTATAATGTGAAATGTATTGTTATGTGGATATGAAATGAGCTATATCGGGATATGAGACTTTTATATGGCACAGCTCTGACAACACTAGAACATTCTTGCTCCTCCGAAATGATGCTGAAAATTTATTTTTACTATGGTCTATTTCAAAAAACTCTGCACAAGAATAAAAGCTTGATACTGTTAAAGCTTCTTGAGATTATTACTGTAAATTGTTGCTTTAAATATTTCTTGTCATGTAAGATACGTAAGATATAACATAACCTCAACATTTGCACATATTCAGTGCACAAAGTCAATTCATTTTAAGGTTTTGACTATGAACTCGAAACTTAGGAATACATAAAAGACATGCATTTCTCCTCTTACATCCTGTACAGGCCTTACCCGCTGTGGTCCCACTTCCAGGCCATCTCCCTCCAGCTGTTCTTCTCCTGCAGAGCCTGGTACAATCCCACAGCAGCATGGCCAACCTGGGCTGCCACCTGCACAAACACACAGCGCAGAGTTAACACCTACACATCTGTTTAAGTTTCCAGACCTTTTTGTGCCGTTTCTGACCGAGTTCAAATAAAGTTACACACTGAACTTAAAAAACGTATAGTAGAATGCAACCTTAAACAGACATTTGCACACAAAAAAATATACTGGTTATGGGCATTAACTACTCCCACTCACAGAAAATGAGCATAGGTAGGTGTGTTTATTGTTAGAAGAATCTGGAACTCATGTAAATTAAAGATGGGCTTTGTGAAATAAGAGAACACATGGCAGCTTTACATCACTGTAAAACCAGAGGCAGGAGTTATTAAACGTAGGACTAAGCTTAAAACGACTAAGCTATTGTTCAATATTATATACACTCTCTTTAGGATGGATTGAGTATTTGAACACAGAACACACCCCACACAGTTGACACTGGCACCACTGGACCTACCTTTCCAACACCCATGGCAAGGTCCATGTTCACCACAAACACCATCTTAAACATGAGGTCATCGTCTCCCTCCTCCTGAGGGTCAGAGCAGACAGAGAGAGACACTGAGATTTGGATTTGGACAAACTCCACAAGGTCTAATGTACCAAGGTGTACCTGTGGGGACTAAGGCTAGCTTATGGGCACCTCATTCTCCAGCTTGTTGAAGTAGTACATGGCCGCCTCCTCGGCAGACACGTTCCGAGTGTGCAGAAGTGCCTGAAGAGGTGAGAAACAAAGAAAAAGGTCAAGGAACAAAGCAGTGATGCCAGTCACAAAAATGTCCAGTCCAAATGCTACCCAGTCCTATTCCCTAAGGACCCAGAAGCAGAAAACACTAAACAATTCTGATCATCTGTTTATCACAAGGTCAAGTGTCACAATGTCAGCTTACTCATCTTTTTGTTTTAGCTGAGGCTCTAGGCCTGTATTGTCTCTCAGTCCTGGTACAGTGTTTCTGCAGGTTTCAGCTTAAATTTAAGACCTCTGCAAGACCATTAGGAATGCAACTGAAGACCTATTTTACATCCATACTGGCAAAAAAGGGGGATGAAGGATATGAAGGAAATTCAATGTCAGTTTCATTTTGTATGATCAATACAAAATTTTCCCTAAAACAAATCTGAATGTGAGAATGAAAAATGTAACTTAATACAAGTAACCTTAACTCCATTAATCCAATCAATGTTTAAGACCTGTCAAAATGATATGTCTAAGGTCTAAAATTCAAACTTTTTGATTTTAGACCGTGCAGACACCCTATGGTAAAAACTGTCCCTGAGGACACTTGGTACAAACAATTTCTGGAAATATTCTACAGTTAGAAGAGTATGCTATATAAAATAATATAATGAGGTAACTGTCTCTATGTAGCAGTGAGCTGACAAGTAGTGCAGTGTTCACATTATATAGTTCCAACTCTTTTTAGGAAATCAGTTTCCAGGAGTTCCTTTGAGAATCCAGGACAGCACTTGCTCACAGTGGTGGTCAGTGTTAGAGAGACATTCTGCATTAGCTCGCTTTTATGTCGCACTTGTCTGTTCTCACCACAGCTGATTTTTCCCTTGTGGCCTCAGGGGAGTGGAGCAATGGTTTTCCTCTAACCGTAACATAACCTAATCCAACTCGCCTATAAAGGACAGTTCAAATCATGTAGAATTAATTTTAGCTTAGAGAAAATTCATCTTCTAATTAGCCTGTTAAAAGACACGGTAGAAAATGTAAATCTGATCATTAATGACAGGCTGTATGTATGTAGATGTGACTGTCTGCAGATTTGACGCCAAAAGTTTGCTGCAAGTGGTGTGAACCGCTCTAGACTGACATGGGAGCAGAAATGAAATAGGAGCATTTTTCTGTTAGGCTTTGTGTCTGGTAAACCCGCTTTGAAGTGCCATAGCACACAGCGTACAGTACCAAGAGTCGGGTTTCAAACGCGCAGGTTTACGTAATTTGAGTAAGGACATAAAATACAATTAAAAGGCAAACATGATCAGGATCAGGATATTTGGTCATTTAAATCCATTTCCAGGTGTTTCCAGGACAGGAAAACTAGTCTTGGAAAGGCTTTCCAGGATGCGTTGGAACCATGAGTATGGATCTCTGAAGGTCTGAATAGTAACCTACCATGGAGATGGTTCAATTACAGGCAGTGTTGGTGACAAAGGGAAAATAGTGTGCATCAAGATACCATTAAATTAGAGTGTATCTGAGGTATCCATGTTTGTATTTTTTCCAGACACTTAATTTCTGTACTGCCATATCAGCTATACCACAGAAGGCATCACTCCCAGCCACAGTTACCATTGGATATTGATGTAAATGTGGCCTAAATGCTGAAACAAGCTGCCCACCCTGAGCCCCTGAGCCCCACCTGTTTGGCTGCTTCCTCTGGGATGTCCAGCTCTCTGAGCTGCTGCAGAAACACAGGGTTGACATCCTGAGTGCCCGAGTCTGGGCCTGACTGCTCTGATGGTTCCATTCTTGACTGTAAAAAGGAAAACAGCAACACTGAACACCACAAACACACATGAGCTAGGATTGTCAACAACTTTAATTAGACTGAAAATGGCAAATGTAGCACAGGTCAATAATGTCTGACACATATTTTATCACAAACAGCATTATAATGAAGTAGTGAAGTGCTGCAGAGATCCAAATCTTGTTCTTCAGATTTAAGAAAAGGATTTTCCTTTCGTGAAAATTCAATTTGTAATGCAAAAATGATAATTCCCCCATAATCAGAATTGCAATATCTGTCAAAATAATTGAAATATGATATTTTTACCATATTAGGCAGCCCTAATGTTCATGTATGCAAATAATTATGCATTCATCCAGAGGCATAGACATTAGGACCGCCCGATAGAGTAAAAACATCATATTGCAATTATTTTGAAAGATACATTTTATTTTCACTGAATAAACTATTCATATCCTGATGATGTGACATTAGTACTGTACTGTATCAGACAAACATGTTTACTTACAACTGCAGAACAAGATTAGTAGACCAGGGTATCTCTGCAGTTCTACAGTACTTCATTATAATGCTGATTGTCACATTTTACTTTCATCAAACACATTGCAGCTTTTGCTTTTTGCATATTGCAATCTGGATGGGTGGATGGCTTATTTGCACAAAGATGACAAGCTCATACAATAAACTGAGGCCTGGAGCCGTGAATTAGTTTGACTTTAGTCATTTTTACACGAATCCTCTCTTCTGGTCAACGATGTGTTTGAACCTGATAGCACGGTTTCACCGCGTCGTACATTGACGTACTTTTCCAAACAAGGCCGTATTAATAATTGTATGAGAGTGACGTTCTCTTCAAATGCGAGAATTAAATATAAAGAGAAGTAAAAAATAACAGACAGACACACGGTGGAACAGAACAAGCCTTAACTTGGACAGATAATTAGCTGTCGATAAACGTTAAGCTCGCTAACCGCTAGTTCTACGCAGGTGACAGTTGTTAGCTTATTAAATGCGCTAACGTTACACACCATTTCAAATTAGCATCTGCAGCTAACGTTAGCAAGGTTATCTTTCCATTTGACTACTGGGCTATTTCAGTGAGAACACTAATCACAAATTGCTACAAAAGATGCTTAATTTTAATGCTTACAGTTAATTATTGCAACATTTATTGTACGACAGCTGCTGTTATAGCTAACATTAGCATTAGCCGCTACCGCTAACTGGGCTAGCTTCGGGTCCAGCAAGCTGCCTGTAACGTTAGTTACCTGTTTATCGCAGCTAGCTCGACAGCAGCAACAACAACGCCGACTTCCCCGCGGTTTTCTTTATGTCTTTATTTTCACCTGCGACGGAGCAATTTCTGTTTGAATGCTGAATTACATTCAGTGGGATTCCCGACTGTACTGTCTTCAGCGTTACTCCATTTTGGACCCTTCAGCTCGCTGGCACAGGATGCTGCTTCTTGTCGAATCACACTCAGAGTGGTGTTGCAGATTTTCTGGTATATTAATTATATGGTGGCAGTATGCGCGCGCATCAAGTTGCCTACCACATCAACAATAAAAAAAAAAAAAAACGGTGGAAAATGTAGCTATATTTTTATAACCTTGTTATTACATTATTAGGCAATTTATTACTTAAAATCTTTGTCAACCCCTTCAAATAGGCGAGCATGCACTGTACTGTCTATCTTGTTGTATCCTGTTGCAGCTGATGAACTCTGTGTAAAGGCTGGTAGTTAGTCAGATGCAGTAGATTTGTTAAACAGATTCTCAGCTTCCTTGTCTCCATGGTAACCTCAGCCTCACGAACGTGCACCAGATAATTTGCCCCAGATAAGTGGCATCCTGTCCATTATTACAGCTGGGAGCACAGCAGTCAGTTTCCAGCCCTAATACAGGGGTTCCCAAAGTTCTTTATACAAGGACCCCCATAACAGATTAGACCACAGACCAGAGGATTCAGAGGGTTTTGTGTTAAGGAATCCCTGCTGAGTATTGTTTTATTGTTAGGGTTGAAGATAAAAAAAAAGTCCTCATAGTCAATCAATGATCAACGTAGGATCACTATAAATTATAATCAATAAAAACAGCCAACTTATTTCTTTTCTTGTAATTCCAATGTCAAAGAAATGTTAAAATAAAATGTCAAATATTCTATTCCACCTTTAGCTGGGGACCCCCTACAACCCACATAAGGCCCCCATTTGAAAACCCCTGCCCTAACACACTCACTCACTGTACATATGGACAACGTGAGGGATTCAATGTCAATGTTGTGTTTTTGAAAGAAAAAGAGATCCCATCATTTTAAGAATACTTTATTACATCAGCGTCTGTGAGAAGTTACACCTCCTTCTCTTATTAAACAGGTTAAATCACTACAGTTACATTTGAAATCAGTATGTACAATGATATTAACACACACAATAAGAAAAAACTGCTCCTTGCAGAGCCTGCTCTACATTGCCAAATTTATACAGCTTAATAACAGTTACAGTTTTCCCTCAGATGGCTCGTCTTCATCAGCCACCTTTCGCCTTCGCCATCATCTCCTCTGAACTGACAGTGTACAACAGAACAAACCATCTGTTCTTAGGAGTCATTAGTTGCTTGTGTGTATTAGGTAATGTAGTGATAATCCTATGGGCTACATTCTGACACTGCCGAGCGTGGACCTGGGAATGGCACACTTTAGGCTCAACTGACACACATCAACACTCCTCAAGGGCATGAGACTGTTTTGAAAAGGTCACTGGGCTAGAGCTGAACATCATTACTTTTTAAGTGTCTGTAGCACAAGTGTCTGTATAGATATAATGTGCTAGGGATTTCTTTTGGAAAAACTTGTATATATTCTGTAAAGTAAGGTACTGAACAACCTCCTTATTCTGGTACTGAAACTACCGGTAGCGACATTGTGTCTGTTTCCCTGTCCAGGGCATCTCTGTTATCTCTGCAGTGCCTAAACATATCCTAAATGTAAAAGCTCCCCTCCAGTTGAAAATGTTCTCCTTGTTCCTACAGTGTGCTGTTTGAATGCTGTCTGTGCAGAGTTTTACTCTAGAAGGATATTTTCACATTCATCTACTGAAAGTGGAAACTTTCTCTGTGCTCATTGAAAATCTGATTTTAAGGGGCGTGGCCTACCAACAGGATTTGTGACATCACAAATAGTTAGGAAGTCAGTCCTGGTCCAGTATCAACTTGTACAGTGTGATGTAGAAACTTGAAGCCACCAGTGCACATCCACTGAGAATGAACTTTACAGTGAAGTAGGAGACATCTTGTGTCCAGCAGGGAAACTTTAGAAATTAACAACATTTGCATATTCAGAGATTCTGGAAGAAGACCTACATCAGCACATGTCCAACCGTAGCCAGCCCTAGTAACCCCTCGGAAGCCATCTCTGTCACTTAAATAAGAGAAAACACCAGCAAATATCAGCTCACGTATACAAGGTCTCAGTGTGACGAGATCAACTACTGAACCAGTAGCAGTATAATCAATACATAACCTGTATCAAATTGACAAGACAAAATGCCATACAGACTTTCAGCTCATGAAGCAGTGACACCTTGTGTTCAATACAAGAACTGTACACTAACCACGAGGCCGATTACACATTACAGCACGTACCCTCAGCTCGGCTTGGAGTGGAACAAGGTGAACCATGATTTAATACATCGTTCAAAACCTAAAAGGAATGTTAAAAATGTAGAAAACAGAAATATGACATAAAACATTGTGGTGCGCACTATCTTCATTAATATGAGTTTCTTTAGGGAAGGAGTTTTGTTTTTCCTCTAACATCTTTCCAGTGACTTGTACACTACAGACACATCCACACGGACAAGTAGAAAAGCAAGAAACAAAAACAGAGTCACTCAGTTCGGGTTTAAGTACCTTAAAATGCTCCAACGAGCAGCTGCTCATTTCACACAAAGAAAGATAATATTGAAGTAGAAAAGTCTGAAATGTGTGTGTGTGTACTGCTGCACATGTCCAGCAGGTGTATGTGCATGAGGGCCGACCTGTGCTGCTGTACTGGTGGTTGAAGCTGGTTGAAACATGCACAGCAGTGTTGGGTCAACTACATCACAGAAAGGAGTATCTGATGCAGCGCAGCAGGCTGAGGTAGAGAGCAGCAGAGACTGTTCCAAACAATGTTGACTGTCATTATTAAACATTTCAGATAAAAAAATCCTGAAGCTGAGCTCTCTGTTTTCTGAATACTGCTGACTGTAACATCTAAAATATAATAACAAGCTACTTCTATACTAAAAACCAGAAATGTAAAAATACAAGATGTAGACTGACAACCAGGGCAGTATGGAGAACTGTGCGTACACACGCACACGCACACGCACACACACACACACACAAAGAAATAACATCTGGCCATACAGCAGTGACAAGCACACAAGGCATAAGAGGTACCGCTTCATAAAATTCACACCAGAGGGAAAACACTGATATAAAATCCCCCTTTTATCAGTCTTCAGATCAGCTGCTTTGTAGGACCGCAAAAGTTTGAAGTCCTGGAGATAAAACATTCCTCCAAATGTCTCTTCATAAAGAGGGACAGCAGGCCTGACTCTTTCTTTGTCCAGGTTTGTCTGGTGTCCACGTGCTGTCCTACAGAGAGCTCAGGGCCTCAGAGTCACCGACGCATCCTTATCCGCCAAACTTCAGCGCCAACCTGAATCCTGAATAGTCTGTTGCTCTCCTGCTTCCTAGTTTAACCTGCAGGGTGCAAAGTGTGCTCCCGCTCCTCAACACTCTCCGCTCGCCACGGCTCTGGTGGGCGTTTCCTCTGTCACAAGTCGGTGACTTTGTTCTCCACGGCGGCTGCGATCTGCTGCAGTCTGTAGCCGAGCTGCATTTTCTGGGCCGTGGGGTCCTCCTCCAGTGCCGTGATGATCTGATGAGGAGAATATAGCGCAGGGATGGATGGAGAGAGAGGTAAAGAGGAGGAAGAGAGAGAACACAAAAAGATTTATCATTGCTTTAAGCAGAAACGTACTGAATGATTATACAACCATAATAGTAGCAGCTGTATTTCCCCTTTAAAGGTTATCTTTGTTTGGTTTGGTTATTCTGAGTGAGAATCTAAAGATACAGTGTGTTGTGGAGTAAACACTGATGTTTTCACTGCCCTCCAGCATATTAGAGTATATAGAGTATAAAATTAGGATTCATACATTAATCTTGGTTGTGACAATCTAACAACCGTACAGGTGATATCCTCAGATGTCTCCTGCTGTAAACACATTCATTAAGTCCTGATCATCTAAATAAACGTTCACGCAGGCAACTGCACAGTATAAAATGCTATCAAAAACTGAGTGTCACAATGTGTGTCACGACCATCAGGGGGTGCCAAAGTCATCAGAAAAGGATTATGACAAAAGCACTCACTTATTCGTCCTTGGGCATAAAACAGGTTCTTGTTTTACACACAGCTCATTATCTAAATATTCAGGTATTACTATATTTTTAGACAGAATTTGTGTCTTTGCATGTGTCTTAATATTTTACACTAACCTCCAAAATAATGTGTAAACACATAGTACTCTAGACCAGTGGTTTTAAACTTTTTATGCCCAAGTTACACCAAAGGGCAAGCCAAAAGCTCAAGACACACCTGTATTCATATCTGTGCAAAATAGTCCCAGTAACAGCTGTTATAACTTTTACCACTTTTAAATATTTATTTTCTAATGCCAAATAAAATTTGACAAAATATCACTCTTGAAATATTTATTAACAAAATTATTTGAAACTTTATTTTGAAAGTCTTCGTAGTGTGCCATGATACTGTTGAGTCAGACTGAGTGGTAAACAGACCTGGTCGTAGTATTTGTTGATGTACTTGTACAGCTCGTGCAGTGCGACCAGGTAGTTCAGCTCTCCAGAGTAGTTCTGAAACACAAAGCATCAGGTAAGATCAGCCTCTGCGTGTGGAAGCGCTTGTCCTGTATACGTCCACAGTGTGGGCTCTGGGCCGGGGCTGCACTCACCCTGGACAGCTCAGCCAGAGCAGAGTTCATCTCCTGGTCACTGGCTGAGATCGTCTGCCTGATGTCAGCGTAGTACCTGAAATAATGCCAATTACAGTCAGCTTCACGTGCATGCATACTGAGATTGATGATTATACTCAGAACACATCATCATACTTAACAAAGAGAGCTGTGTGACAATATGTGATACAATCATTATATGACAGAGATCATTGTATTCCACAATAGATTATATTTGGTGTGAAATCTAACTGACATTGTCGAAGGAGTTTTAGTTTTTAGCAGCTTTAATGAAATGCGAGCCCACCTTTCTACCATCTGTTTGTAGCGAGGGATGTCTCTGGCATACAGCAGCTTGTTGATGGGAGAGTCCTGCTCAAGAACAAAAGAGGGAATGAGAACCAAAGAGAGAAGGAGGGACAAGAGGCTGCTGCATCATTCAAAGCCTGAAATAAACATCTTTTCATCATTTATGTACCTGACAAAACTATTCAAAATAAAGAGAATACAGTGCAAGAAGCTTCTAAATGCGGCCTCACCCGTCCCAGCTTGTGCTCAGCGATGGTGCAGGAATCCATGAAGGTCTGGGCGATGACAGAGAGTACTGCGTCCACGTGGTCCGACGCCTGGACGTCGAAGATGAACTGAGGGTTCTTCACAATGTTGATCCAGAAACGCAGAGGCAGACTGGAGCAACAGAGGAGACACTAGAGTTAGAACAACTGACCTGTAGTTTCAGGATCCTTAGGTAAAGCTGATCTAATATCTGTGAGGATAAAACCCTTCATAGCTGGAATTTTCCTGGACAATGTCCGTACTGTACCTGTTGGTCTTCCAAATGTGTATGGTCTCTGGGTCGGCGATGCCATGTTGTCCTGCCTGATCGTCCAGCAGGTCAAAGAAGTATTTGACAGCCAGTGGGACGGGACGACTGGTGCTGAGGATCACTGTGAACAGATCGTCCACAAACTTCTGCAGCGTCCCCTGAAGACCACAGAGGATGAAGCAGAGTCAGAGTGAGGGGCAGAGTGATGTTAATGTATACGTTCTATAAGTTGTGGCTGTTTATCTGTTTAAATGCACTTGGATACTAGTGACTGTTGTTGCTAGACTCCCATATAAATGATTACCAATCAAATACATACAGCTAGATTGCACATTTGAGATGGGAAAATAGTTTTCCCCATGAAAAACTTGTGCATTGATTGTATAAATAATTACTGAACTTAACAATTAGTAATTAATAATAAAACTAGTCTACAATGAATTGTCAGATATGTACTACATTACTAATATCAGGATCTGAAAACATTGTGTGTGTGTGTGTGTGTTAATTTCATTAGAAAAGCTGAACTGAGCGGCGCAGTGCTCTCCAAGGGACGGATCCTGCTACTGGGAGCAGCTCGGAGCTGTGTGTGTTAGAGAGAGAAGGTGGACTATTGCCCGCTGTGTTTCTGTAAGTTATCACAGAAGATAACTTACTCGGAATGCTGCTTTGTACTTTGACCAACCCGGTCCCGCAGGTTGCAGGTCAACTATTAAAGTAAAAGTGTTCTGAGAGTGAACTGTTTCTTTACGATACTGACACCTTTGATCCAGCTTCTGATACCTATTAGTCTAATGGAATTAGTTTAAAGAAACGTTGCCTAAAATATTTTGAGTTGTACTAAAAGTATGAAGAATTAAAATGACTAAAATGTGACTCAAACTAATAAGCATATTTGTCCTAACACTAAGACTAAATCGAAAATAGCTGCTAAAACACTGGGGTGCTGGACCATTATATCGACGTGTCAAGAGCAGACCCAAAAACTGAATTGACAGCTGTATGGAGACCTGACTGTATGTGTGTGTGTGTATTGTGTGTATTTTGTGTGTGTGTGTGTGTGTGTGTGTGCGTGTGTGTACCTTCATGGACAGCAGGCGGGTCAGGTAAATCTCAGGGATGGCCTTGGCCCTCTCTCTCTCCCTCAGACTGCCTCTGCGGTGTTTGGGCAGCTCAGGCTCCTCGCTGGCTTTCACCAGATGCCACAGCCTCACTCCGCCTTCGTCTGCGTCCTCCAGCATCGGCGTCTCTGCGCAGGACAGTGTGTGTGCAAAGCTTTATTTTAGTACCATTCACTGCTGCACCATCACATATACAGGCTGTACTTGTCAAAAACTGTTCTGGGAATTTATAGGGATTTACTTTGAATATAAAAAACAGGTGTCAATAACAACATCTGAAAAATTGGATTATACAGTTTTTTGTTTTTCAGTTTTTCAATATCAGTGTGAACAGCACAAACTACATGGAATCTGATCTTTCCAACTCTGATTTGCACCACTTTCATATGTGGTCCAAATCAGGTTCTGGTCTGATTTTGTTGCAATGTGATCTCAGTGTAAACAGTCATATCAGAATTCATGTGACCTTTATGTCACCTTTACACATCAACAACTGGGAGCTTCCTAATACAGTCCAAGTTCTCCATTTCCAGTGCAAGACAGTCCTGCTGCCAGATTCATATATATTCTGATAACAACAGACAGGTGGCAGTGTGATCACCACGAGGAGAAAGGCATTGAGATTTATTATTATAATAACCAAACTGTTGTGATGTTCACTCACTCTCTCCTGCCACATAGTCGTGGTTGTCATGGTGAATGTGTTTGGTGTGACGAGGGACCAGCGCTACTGTTGCACCGTCTGGGACCTGATGAACAACACAAAAAATACATAAAAATATATATAAATATTAGAACAGAAAGCCCCTTTTGACTTTTAGACTGGGTTGCGCCAACAAAGACTGACTGATCAGAGGCGCCATGGTAGCTCATCTGGTGCTTTCATTCTGGTGTGTACCGAAGCGGAGCCCTCGCTGCAGCGCCAATGGGTTTACCACCCTGTGGGCTTTTGCTGCGTGTCATCCCTGCTCTCTCTCGCCTATCCTGCCACTCTACAGCTGTCACTATCAATTAAAGGCAATAAAAGCCCAAAAAGCCTAAAAATATATATTAAAAAAAGATTGATTTAATCTATGATTAGTTGTTTTCAGAGTTTAGCGCAATAAGGCTTAAAAAGAGTAAATCCAAATTCAAAACAATAGCAATATTACGGCTGTTTCTGGTTCAACAAAGGGTCTATCTCTGTAGGGATCCTTTCCATAATATTATTTTATTTCGGTCCTATTGTCTTTGGTCTGAGATGCTGGTGCTCTAGTGCGACATCCAGTGGCCAGTCATTTTCATATATATAAACTTTATCCCTTGATTTAATCGGATTTAAATATGAATCCTCATTGGTGCAGCCCAGCCTTAGTGAGGAAAACCTACTGTATTTCCTTTGAGGAGGAAGTGTGACCTCTGACCTTGTAGTGCTGCAGTGTGTTGAGACGTTTCCAGTTGCCCTGAACCACAGACGTCAAGTCCTCATCTGACAGGATGAGATGACCCGCGACACCAGACCGCCACTCTGAACAAAGGGACAGCGGACAGACAGTCAGCATGGTGTATGTGAGATACTCACCAGATGGAATATGTGCATATGTTTTTGTTAGTTCTTATGACTTTAAGGCAATGATAACTTTGGTGAAAGTTAATTAATGAACTTGTCTTTACTTTAGTCTTACTGTAGGGGGCAGCAAAGCTCAACAAATGTAACAGAAAACCCTTGAAGTCAAGTGTGTCAGTTCATAACTTCTCTCTTTTTACTACTGCAGATATACGTGTAAATAGCAAAAATGCTATATAAATAAACCTGCTCTGAGCATTATGTGTGTTGTGTGGCGTATGCAGGTTCTCACCCAGGTCTAGTGAGTCGGCATGGGGGCGGTGGGAGAAGGAGGTGCCCTTGTACACCTGATCCAGCAGCTTCTCTTTTACCTGTGTGATGGTGTCACAGTCCAGTACTTTAGAAGGCAGTGGCTGGGTCTCGTTCACCCCTCCACCCTGCACCAAAACATTCAGAGTCTACAGAAAAAAGAGGAGGGAATGAAAGAGGGTTTTTTTAAGACAACTTCCTGGAGGTCATGGCAGAGGTCTGAGATTCCTTAATTAGATGCAGGCAACCATTCAGTTTAAAGGCAGAGTTCTCCTCACCAGGGTCTTGTACTCCACGTCCTCTCGCAAGAGGCGGTTGTCATTGAGGGTGTACTTGGCCTTGCCGGTCACAGCGTCCACCGGTCCTTTATCTACCTGGTGCTTTATGGCCCTGAACAGCATGTAGAGAGACTCCCCTGCTGAGTCCTGCACAAACACACACAAACTGAAGTCAATTAGTACTGGACTAACACACTCTCCAGGGGAGAATGAAGAGCTCAAATGACACAGACACACAGACAAGGACATTCTTTAAACTCCTTTTAATCAGCAACTTTGTGCCAAAGAGGCAGTTTGTATTCTACAAAATCTAACTATATCACTAAAAAACCTTCAGCTATTTACTTAAGGCAGTAGCAGAGGAAATGGCAATAAAAAAAAAGCCTGTTTTTATAATGCCGTTCAGTCTGCATGGGAACATTTGGGATGAGACGCTCCCTCTGCACTTCACAGAGAGTCAGTATTTTGACCTTTGGACTGCACATTCATCTGCTGTTTAAAAGTTACACTGGAAAGTTACTCAAGGGATGCATTACATCTTATTATTTTTATTAACAATGACACAAAGCCTTGTGAACGAATGGAGGACCTTGGAATCACTCACTGTCATTATATCCCAACCTGTGAATCTGTCTTTCATCTTATATTCATCAATAGATGCGGAACAGAAACTGGGCTTATAGGGACTCGTAACTGGGTTCCACACATTCCATAAATAGATTTATTAAAGTGTGAACAGAATATGGACTGGAAGAGTGTGGTGTAATATGCCTTTAATATCATAGTTACATCAGACATACTTTTCATTAACTCTGAGATGCTGTCAGTTAAAGATGAAGTCCAATATGCTAACATGCTAATATGTTATAACATCCTTTCAGAGAGTCAAGTGACTGATGTATTATCAGATATTATCGGGGGTTATGTACCTAGTCTACCAGGCACTGTTCAATTATGACTCTATTAATCTGACAAGATATTAAAATGAGGTCCTTTATTTCTGGCTTGACTGAACGTGTGGAAAATATTAATGGTCCGATCTAGAGCCAGTGTTTGGTTTGTCCGCTCTGGGCTATGGTAGAAACATGGTGGTTCAACATGGTGGACTCCATGGAAGGTGACCTGCGACGTCTGTAGATAAAAACGGCTTATGTGTCTTACTCACTGACCTTTCCCCACATACCTTCTATTCACAAACACAAAATGTTACATACTAAAAACCTAAAAGTGTCACTTTTTGTAACTAACATTTGACTGGATGTACATTTCATAGCATAGTTGTGGCAGAAATAAAAGTTATGTCTTGTGCGTTGACTGACCCTGAGGAAAGCATAGAGGCAGATGGACATCCAGTTGGTCAGCAGCTTCTCCACCACCGTCTCTGTTCTGCAGAGAAAACACACTCAGAGTTGGAATCACTGCCAAACATCTTTCAAACACCTCGAACCGGTAAGCACACTCTGCTGCTCCTCCTCCTCCTCCTCCTCCTCCTCCTCCTCCTACCGTCGCAGCATCAGTTTGGGGTTCTTGGCCACATACTGCTCCACCAGGTCGTTGAGCAGCGTTTTGAGGATGTCCGTAAAATACTCCAGTTTGCCGTGTAGTGCCACCGTCAGCAGGGAGGCCACATAGGCCCTGTCTCTGGGGGAGAAGGTCCGCTGGCTCTCCAGAGTGTGGATGAACTGAGAATAGGAGAAAAGAGATAGAGATTATCTGGCTCCTAAAAATGTATGTACCGTCTCCTCTGCTTGTAACACTGATGGTGAGTACCTTGGTGAGGAAGAGTTTGCTGTTGAGCAAGTTGGACAGCTGTACCAGGCCCTGCTCTACCGTCTGCCGCCGACACTCCTGAACGTCCAGGTCTCGCCTTAGCGGAGACTCCCGGTGGCCGGGGAAGAAGATGCGCTCGGCGTACATCCGATAGTCCAGGAAAGGAATGCCGGAGCCCACCAGGTCGCTGGACATGTCCATCATCTCTGTCATCAGGTCTGAGTGAGGTAGAGGAGCAGGGGTGAAAGGTCAGGAGGTCTTGCTACAAGCTCTTCAGCTTCCACTATATGCTATATTCAAAGTGTGTGTTGGGAGGTGGGAGCTGGTAAATATTGACACTGTACAGAGTTGGCAGACAAAATTTAAAATCTTCTGCAGCCACCATGTGGGATGTGAGGAAGATTTCATCCAGGAGGCGTGATGTTATGGGATCATTTTATAAGGCCAGTGTGAAAACAAAGTGGATCTGTTGGCCTCCACAAACTAAAATAAACTTTCTTCTTCCGTCTCTGGCTCTCCTCTCCCAACCTCCTTCCACTCTTTCCTTTTCTCTCCTTTGTCACATAACATTTCGCACTCCTTTACCTGTGAACTCTTTCTTGCAGCGGTCTCTCACGCTGGTTTCCAGGTTCTCCAGTTGGATCTGGACCTTCTTGTAGTCTCTCAGAGCTTGCTTACTCTTTCTCCTGACAGACACCAACAAAGACAGGAAGAGAGGGTCAGGTGGGGATAGAGGAGAGAGGACAGGTAATGCCAGTTTCACACTGGATTAGTGGAAATCCAATGAAACAGTAAAGGTTGACTCAAGTAATTTGACCCAACAAACCCCGACAAGTAAGGACCAGGGCTAATCGTGGGGTCACGTTGGGTCAGAAAATGGAAACACTGCCTGGTTTTGTAACTCTGCTGATCCTACAGTTCTCAATGTGCTTTTCAAAGTCTTTTCAAAGACTTGATGAATTTACTTGAACAAGTCAAAGTAACAATGTCTTTTTCTCCCAGTCTAATCATGTTGTCTGTCTAAAGCAGGGGGTCAAACTTTATCATGTCAAGGATCCCCAATCTGAACAAACTGGGGGCTCGTCCATAACTCAAGCCTGTTGATTTCTAGCCTATAATTGTTCACATTTTGACAAATTGGCACCATTTAAACTATGCTGAATCAGCTATTAGCAGTTCCGGTTTGCTGGGTACCCGTGGATGTACAGACAACTAGCACTTTTCTCTGAAGAAAACTTAAAAACCTGATTATTCTCAGGCAAGTTCTGGAGTTATAAAGAGCGTCTTTTCAGTGATTTTTAAGCAGATTTAAGGACGTTTTCCACAGTGGGCAGGGCATAATGATATCCTTGGAAAGTGCAACTGACACTGAATCTAACAATATGTATATCATGTCTGGGAGTTTCACTGAGATATGACTCAGAGAAGGAGTGAGAGCTTAATCATGTCCATGAGTTGTGTGTCACAGGCTCTGCTGGAGCTCCAGCTGCTGACTGTGTTCATAAACGGGCCAAATCAGAGGCCAAACTACAATAACTGACTTTCCCTTGTTATTACAACACAGCATGCACCCATTACCCACTCAGATACGAGTGTCCATTGTGTAAATCATCCGTACGACTTTATTCAGTCATGACATGACTATTACACAAAGAGGCATACTTGTGTCATTATTGGCATCTGGAGTAGGATAGGGATCGTGTTACTACTGGAGAACTGTGGTGAGCTGGAAAATAATATCAAGAAAGAAGAAGAGTGTTTTCTCTTCTCTTACAGGTCACTGATTTTAAAACTTATTTTTGAAGCCTTAGTTGATTAATGTGCACATTACATGCAATTGTTTTACACATTTTGCTGCACATTTTTGTCCCATCCAGTGTGAAATACAGCCACCAATATAGGTTTTTTTAATGGCCGATGCTGATATTTAGAGAGCAGGGCTGCCAATATATAATGCTGATATCAAAACAAAGGAAAGTCATGTATAATTCTATTCCATTCTATAAAAAATTTAGGCATAAGTTTACGGCAGGATGCATGAGAGTTCTATTACGGGGCTTGAAACCAACTTTTTCACCACCTTCCCAAAACTCACAAGAGGGAGGCTGACTGCAGACGTGACTGAAGACATTTATTTTTATTTTATTTTTAATTTTTTTTTAAATCGGCCTCCTGAGCACGGATGTGGCCAATATTGATTGTCTTAAAATGACACATAATCAGACCGATTAATCAGTCTATCACAAATTTAAACCATTTCTGCATGTTAACTGTGTTTCAGGTAGCTTCTAGCTAGCAGTAGGCTACCTGCGATGATGCTTCTATTGCCTGTAATGGCTGCACTTGATGGCAACTATTGCAATAAAGGGCTTTGGTACCAAAACGTGGCCCTTACCCTTGATAGTAGTGGTTGAAAACTCTCCTTTAACTTACTCACAAATTGATCTGATTATATGACCTTTTTCTTCTTACACACGCACCCACACAGTAAACACCCAAACAAACACAGTACATCCACTGACCTGTAAATGAGCACGATGATGAGGACGATGAGTGCTACTATGGACGCCCCGACCCCAACTCCAATCTGAGCCTCCAGGGGGAAGGTGGACAGGCTGAGGTTGTCATACTGAACCTTACCCAGGGAGAAGTTCAGGTTGCCCATTTGGACCTGAAACACAGACACAAACACACATTCCTTACTTACAGCATTGTCTACCGGCATACTAAAAACACAAACATGTTGTCTCTGTGGTTTTAAAGTGAAAGCGCCGCAGACTCACAGTGAATTCAGGCAGATTGTCGGAGCCCTCACGTTTCTTGCCGTTGGGTACCGGTGGGGGCTGCTGAGGTGGCGGCTCGCAGTACAGATGGTTTCTGGTCAGGGTCTTAACAGCACACACACCCTCCCCGACCAACACGACCACCTCGTCCTTAGTGATGGCCAGGTCCAGGTTTTCCCCCTGAGAACACATTTAGCTTATTTTGTATCTACTTTCACTTCCAGTTCTTGAAGTGCTACAAAAAAGTGAAAAACATATACGTATGTTTTTAATCTTACCATTAGATTTAAAAGTAGACAGTATGGTTTCAGTTTTTTTGACTGGTTCGCAGTTTTTGTTTATCTTTCTCTGGTCTTTGTCTTGTTTTATAATAGTTTTATTCACTATAATAACCTGTTTAAACAGGATTCATGCCAGTGTTCTGTTCTCCAACCACAATGACAAATACCACTATTAACAACTAAGGCTGTGATAGTAGGCCATGACAAACCAGCACTGAATTCAAGCATGCGCCCAAGGCTATGTTAACGCTTTTTTCAGACTACTTTTCAGCTCCATCTACTGGTGAAATATCCCAACAACAACTGGATAGATTGGAATGAATGTACAAACACACAGTCATGATCACCAGAGGATGAATTCTAATTGATTTTTCATCTGGGTGGCATCATATGTAAATGTAGACATGTCCAACATGACAAGAATTCCTGTCCACTTCAGCCTTACTTTAATTTCAAGTTTGAATGAATTGTTACAATGTTATGAGATACAGCTTGGACTCTGGTTGCTTTGAACACAGTTTCACAGTTGCCACTGCAGCACTCTTGCTCAATACTGGGCCAGTTTAACAAATTGTTGTTCCCATTAGTCACTTAGACACAAAAACACAGGAAAACTGAAAGAGCCATCATTGCTTCACTTAGTAAAAGGAGTACATCCAGAGCTACATTCAGATCTCTGACCTCCAGCTGGATGAAGCTGCCCGGGTTGTAGCGGTAGGCCTTCAGAGGGTCCTGTTGGTTTAAGGGCCGCAGGAGAGGGTTGGGTTCGTAGCTGAAGGCCTGGGGGTTCAGACTGCTGAAGTCAAAGCGCAGGTTGTCCAGCAAAAACTCCACGGTGACCTTTGACCCCCAGATGGAGGAGTCCACCATGGGAGAGCGACACAGGATCAGGGAAGAGGAGTTCATCTCACAGCGCTCCATGAACTGATGAGACAAGGAGGGTGCACACAAGACATTTAGTAAAGGAAGAAACTTTTAGTTTTAAAAATAGCAAGCCAACACACACACGCACACGCATGCACGCACACACACGCACATGCATGCACGCACACGCATGCACACGCACACACCTGTTTGACAGAGCAGAGTGGGTCTCCAGGGCAGACAGGGTCAGGAACGATCCTTGCTGGCCTTCCCAAAGTCTTCTCCCTGTCGTCCCCCTGCTCTCCACTCATCCTTCTCCTCCTTCGCTTCCTCCTTTTAATCTGGCCGTTTGCCTCAAAGGGAGAGACGGTCACCACCATCCGGGGCTCCTGAACCACGTCCAGGTTGTGTCCTGACACAAAGATCAGCCGACCACCACTACACACAGACAGAGAAACTTCAGTTTCAAAGCACTTCAATTTCTGGCACCAAACAACTTTTTTACATAGGGAAGAAGACGAGATGAAGGTCAGATCTTCACTCACTCCAGGAAGCTCTTTGCTGGCGTGGCGTGGGTGATGTTGGGGTTGTGGGTGTAGCGGTAGGCTGCAGAATTGAGGTGGCGCTGGCTGCTGCCGTAATGCAGGGTGACCCGGTGATCTCCTGTCTTATTACTGCTGCCCGTCACACACTGAACACTGGAACTCTGCACCTCCGACACACTGAGGACACCAAGAGGACGCACATAGGAGAGACTGATTAATAAATTATGTCATACTTCATTGACCCCAGAGTGACATTGTCTTTTCTCCCCCCTCCCCCACTCCAAGTAGGTCAAAGGTCAGACTGACAGCATTAAAGCTAACTTTAAATCAGCAATAGCGTGGCCGTGAACTAATAAAAAAGATCAACCTCTGTGTATGTGTGTACGAGTGAGAGTCTTACATGCTACAGGGGACCCCTCCCACAGTGATGGTAAGGTCAGAGGGACGTCCAGTCAGCAGGTTTCGGCCAGTGATTGTCAGGGAGGTTCCTCCGGCTTTGGGACCCCTTTCAGGAGACACCCCCATCACGAATGGGTCCTGAGAGGGAGGAGAAGATGGAAGAAGGAGGTTAGAATGACATAAACCTCACAAACACATAATAGACACAAACACTGATTACAAACCAGCTGAAAACACATTTGAAAATCTCTAAAATTCTGGTGTTCTATTGTTGAAGTAGGCTGGTTTTTTTTTGCTACTGCAACAACACAATTTTTACAGACAGGTCAACAATATCCTATCTACTATAATTCAATCTGATCTAATGTACCTGGTAGCTGAATGTCTGGCTAGACCGGCCAAACTCTCCTCCGCTCACTTCAACAGACACATGGCCCACCTTCTCTCCTCCACTGGCTTTTGTCCTGCACACAATCCTGGAAGAAAGACACTACTCTTAGGATGGTTCTTCTTGATAAAAAAAAAAAGTTATGCATTGTAAAGTAAGTAAAGTCCTTAAAGTGTAACTAAAGCCCTAAATTCTGCCAGCTCCCTGCCTTCCAGCAAATTTAACAATATAGCAGAGAGAAACATATAAGGGGCGTGGTTACATAGTGTGTACAATATGTAGAAATCAAATAGTTTGCTGTCTGTACCTGGAGGAGACCTCGTAGAGGTTGGGGATGACTGTGCAGGGAACCCCTGCTACTGACACAGAGTGCAGGATATCTTCAGCCTTCTGGCCCAGGTTGGAGCCTGAGATGGTCACCGTGGTGCTGCCCTCCAACAGACCGGAGAGTGGCTCAATCTGAGAGAAGTCAAAAAATGGGGAACATCTCTTTTTTTATCAACGATAAGTTAATAAGTGCCAATTAACTTCAGTTTCAATTCTGAAACTAATGTATGGTAAAGAAAGAGCTCTGATCTGAAATATGAAGATATATCGTGACTATAAGCATCTCAAATGATGTATTATGTGTCTCCTACACTCCCAAAGTGAAGAGGTCGAAGGTCAGTACTCACAGAGAGGATGACGGGGGCGGGGCATGTCTGCTGAACGGGCTCACTGCAGGAGTCTGAATACAAGCAGCTAGCGTGAGTGCCACCACACCACACACACCCATACTTTTGGTCAGCTGTATGGCAGCGGCTGCAGTCAGAGCGGCCCACAGAGCAGTTGTACAGAGTGACTGAGGGCAGGACAGACAGACAAGAGCATCAGTCAGTGTTAATGTGTGTTGACATTGAGTGTTGCTGTCAAGTTGGTGATGGATCAGTGGAAAAAATTGCAAAATCACTCTCAGCTGTATGTTGAGACACACTTTGACCTCACCATATAGATCAGTAGAGCTGTCCACATGGAAGGTGTCCCTCCTCTTCACATACACCATGGCATTGTATTCCTCCACTGGAGCAGAATATGTGTACTGGACAAACAACAATGCTTTCATTAAAAAAAAGCCACACTATGTTTTCTTACAAAGTCACAATATGAAACGTCAACTAAAAGAGGAACACTTTTCTTTCAGTGTATCACTGCGCTGAGGGAAGCGTGCACCTACTAATGGAAGAGGCTTGTGCTTGTGACGGCACAGCTCACCTAGCACCCTAACGTTCAGCTATGGCTGGCAGGTGTATTTTGCTAGACAGAAAATAGTTCTTACATCAAACTGCTCAGTGGATTATCTTGAGTAAATGGGTTGTGATTTCTGAAAAGAGACATTGCTGTAGAGTTTTTAAAATTTTGAGCACCACAAGCCAAGTGCAATCTGGTTCCATTATACTGGAGAAAAGGCAGACACCTCCATGGCTGATATCTCCAAAACTCAGCAGCTCACACCAAAACAATCTAGATGGAGGAATAGCACTACAGGTAAGAGGTCAAATTTGTCTTTCTTTCTGTGTTTTTCATATCTCCCTATAGTGTATTTATATCTACCTATAATGTAATCATATCTAGCTGTCTGTATATAATGTCAACCTCATACTGTGAATATCTCAACTTAATAGCTGTATATATCTTAGTGTATTCACCTCACTCGTTCATTCTGTTAATGCTGTTCATACTGTAAATATCCTGCTAGCATATTCATATATATATCTATAATTTTTTTTTTTTTTTACATATTGTTCATATTTTACATATGCACATTACTCTGCACTTTACTGTTTTGCACTTCTGGTTAGATGCTAACTGCATTTCGTTGCCTAGTTCCTGTACTTGTGCAATGACAATAAAGTTGAATCTAATCTAATCTAAAAATATGCGTTTTTGATTTTAGGGTGGACTGTCCCTTTAATCCAGTCTCAAAAAACATTAGTTTATCATCATTGATATAAATTCTACCCTGAGAATAAAATCTGTATCTGTTACATGTTATGAAGAGTGACAGCACACTATCAGACCTGGTGTAGTTGACAGGTGATGTCAAAGTTGGATGGATTGGTGTCATCAGTCTCCACGTAGGCGTCCACCACCACCGTCTGCCCTTCGATGACCAGCACACATTCATAGTCCAGCTCTGTGTCCTGAACACACAAAGATGTTTGTTGGGTGAAGAGATCACGAGCCAGGCAAACAGACATGTGTTGAGGCTGAGAAAGAGTGTGTGTGTGCGAGGGTGTGTGTGGTGTATACCTGATAGAGGTGCAGGTTGTGGGCCAGTAGGGTGATCTTCCTCTCCACTCTGACAGGGAGCAGTGATGAACCCTGCACCTTCTCCACACAGGGACAAGCTGAAGAACCCCAGCTGACGTAGGAGCCCTCGTCCCCCTGTTTCCCCAATACACATATGTACAGAGTATAAACACACAAGTCCTCTCCCCCTCACTGCACACACACACACACACACACACACACACACACACACTATATTTCCCTCTGATCCAGTGAGGTGAAACCCCTACTGTTTGCATTAAGTTTACTTGTAATCCTGTCTGGACCTGAGCGGTGTGTCCCACTTTATTTTTGATAATACCACTGGGTGGGTCAAAGTCGGAAATTGTTGAATTCTAAACATAGACTAGCTGAAAGCTGGAGAGAGTTGCCTTAAATGAGAACTTAGATTTTAGGTGCTGGGGATTACTGCTAACAGTGATTAGATGTCAAATTTCTGGCTAATGATTCATGTAGATTAGCTATCTATTTAGCTAATTAGCTAAGCTAACAATTGAAAAACAGCAACATATATAGTCAAATCTTAAGTTAGCTAATATTTGCAAAATACTAGCGAACTAGCATACATAAATATACATAAATCATTAACTAGCTAATTAGCTAGCATTTAGCTAACATTAGCCTTCAGATGTAACTAGCTAGCGAATAATTAATGTACATTAGCTATCTATTTAGTTAACTAGCAAAGCTAACAATTGCTCATATATGAAAACCTACTTGAAAATAATACTGATTCTGTTTTTGATGTAGTTTAGCTAGCGTTTTACAAACATTAGCTAACTTAAAATTGTATATATATATGTTGCTTTTATCTTTTAACCATCTTCAAAATGTGGTTGTCTTTTCAACATAGAGAGCCTAACACAGCATATCTCAGTACAGGAAGGAGGTTGAGTGAGGTTCTGACCAAGGCTTGCTCAACTGTTATTGGAGCACAGAGAAAAAAGGGGCGGGAATTGACAGGGTTAATTGTATATTTTTCTAATTTTTCTTTTCCAGATGCACGAATAAGTGTGTGACCCAGTGTGAGAAATACTGAATTCCAACAAAAACACACACAGTATCCTCAAATTTCATCATTCAAAATGAATATTTCAAGGTAATACTGAGTTGTAAATGTGAAAAATGCAGAAACATGAAACATTTAAACAAAAAACAACTGCTACAGCTTGCACTGGAGCAGTTGTTTTTCTTGGGATCAATCTAAAAAGCAAAAGCAAAACAACAAAAAGAACACAGGTGTCAGACGATAAAGGAAGATCAGGGAAATAAGGGCAGACAGGGAAACCTGTTTGTTCCTCCAGGAGGAGTATAGAGTCCAGTCAGGAGCTGGGAGCACTTGGTGGCTGCTGAAGCTTCGAGAAGAAGAAGTAGATGAAGCAGAAGAAGAAGGGAGGAGGAGGAGGGAGGCGGCTGAACTCACCGGCAGGAAGGCGTCGGCTGGATCATACTGGTAGTCCAGCTCTGAGTCAGTATCCAGCAGGTGGGGGTAGGATGGGGGGGCGTGGTCAACCTCACCGTCACCTGACAACACAGTGGCAGCTGAAAATGTGGCTGTGTCATTTTCTGGCTGGACAGCACTCTCAGCTGGGACATCTAGTTCTTCTTTTGGCCAGAGGGGCACCTCAGGGTCAGTCCCTGGGCTCACTGCCTCAGTCTGGGAGTCTTGTGTGGGCACTGGAGTAGGAGCCTGGGTAAGGTCCAGGTAGAGGGAGGGCTCAGAGTCTCCTGGTTCGCCCACAGGGAAGGGCGTAGGCAGGGGGAAGCCAGACGAGGCCGGGGTGGGAGGCTCTGCCACGCTTAAGGCTCCCTCAACTTCCTGAGCATCGCTGGGGGGCGACTCTGTCACCACCTCTAAGGGGGAGATGTCTGGGTCATGGGGCGGGATGCTCAAAGGCATCACAGGGTCCAGATCTCCACTTAGACCATCAGCCATGGTGACAGGCACCAAATCAATGGCTTCCATGCTGATACTAGGTGTAGTGGCGACGCCCTTGGTGTCACTTTGGGTGACAACAACAAGCTCTCCTGCTTCAGTCTCTACCTCCTCCCTGGTGGTGACCTCAGGGAGTGGAGGTGTAGTGGGTGCTGGCAAGGTGGATGGCAAGGTGCTGGCAGGCTGAGGGGGCAGGGTGGTGGGCGGGGTGGTTGGCTCAGGGCTGGTGGTGGTGGTGGTGGGTGGAGTAGTGGCTGCAGGAGGAGTGGTTGGCTCCTGAGTGGTTGCTACAGTGACCGGGACTGCGGTTGTTGTAGCCATGGTTGTTGTTGTTTTTGTTGCTGTTGTTGTGGGAGTTGTGGTGGTGGTTGTCATGGTGGTTGTTGTCAGGGCAGCCGTTGTGGTGGTGGGTGTTGTGATGACTTTAATAGGTTTGGTTGTGGGAGGAGCTGAGGTGGGGAGTTTAAACTGGTGGAGGGAGCAGGACGGGAAGACATGAGGAGAGGGTGAGACAGAAATAAAAAACTAATGGACAAAGGAAAATGAAAGTAGGCAATAACTGAACTTAAATGATGTTACACAGGTACCCTGCTTTTATTTATGACACATGCATGATTTTTGTTACAAATAATGTCTGCTTGTTCTGGCATATGAGGCAGCGGCACTGATGGATGTAGGTCTAAACAGGACAACTTTGACCAATTATATACTTACCAGGTTCTTATAAATCAAAAATACTCCTGTCAAGTACTTTTGGACACATACCAACACATTCAAGTGCTTTTAGTTTGAGGAAATACCATAACGGAACCAGTAAGTGAATCATGTCTTTGTTTGGTACCTGTTTTATTCAAGAGCTTAACTGTGCTGTACAGCTGTTCAACAGAAGGGGAGAAAATGTGTATTAAAGATATAATTGATGATTTACTCAGACTACATGCTGTCTGCCTCCTTACAGGTACTGTGGGGTGTTTTCAACCTCTAGTAGGGCAACGAAGCAGTTGTTTATGAGTAGATCCCATTTTGTTTGTCTCGTGCACCAGGACACACATGCACTAGTGTGCAGGTGATGCAAGACACAGTCCAACCAACGGTTGTACACTATTCCTCTGATCTACAGGTTATCTACAGTAAAGGCAGGGCAGAAAAAGACTGCTAGATAGCAAACACCAGAGCGCCTGGCTTTGAAGCCAATGTGACATAGTGGCCAAACCATGTAATCACAGCAAAAAGACTTTTTCCCTTAAGCTTACATTGTGAAAGAAGCAGTTGTAAAATGGTGGATACAATTATTTGAGCATCACAACCCCCACGAAATGATTTGTTTCACTCTCAGAATTTTATCCATTCAGTCCAATAACATTTGGAAAGTCTAGAAGATCTGCAAGACTAAATAATTGTATCCCCATTCAAATTAACTGAGGGCTAAACTGGAAGCTAGGTCATCTATCCATGGCAAAAATGGATGTAAACAATGGAGGATTTAAATACAAATGATTTGTGAAGAAGGATTTGCATTCAGCATTTTTGTTGAGGCTTCAAGGACACACACAGTCTATGTTGGTGAGTAACACTGAATGTAAACTTCCACTGGGAAACTGTAATGTCTCAGCAATTTAAAGACAGTTTTTGATGTTTAGGAGCGCTAGGGAATAATGTTTTTAAGAGCAGGTCCCTGTTTTGTTTGTCTCTCAGGTATGTGCACAAGGACAAATAGAAGGACATATCTATGATGCAAATAAAAAAATCCAGTCAATCTTTCACATAATTCCACTGAGTGGCAGTTGCTGGAGGTTAACGTGCCCACAGACAGCTGCTCTCTGGCAAGCATGATGTAGTAGTTTCAACGTAGTTTTCAAAAGTGTCAGAAAATTGTTATGAGAAGGAGATAAATTAATCAGCTTTTAAGGTTTCCAGAATGCACTATATATATTTTGGTAAGAAACCGTGTCCACTGAAGATTTGCAAACCTGATAGACTGACTAGTACCTAGTGAAACCAGGCTGTATAGCTGAATAACTATGACGCAGGTCTTTGTTCTCAATTTGTGTGCAAGTATTGAACTCTGTGTGAAGAGAGCATGAGAGAGCCTTAGCTAAGGAGTGTTAGTAGTGTAACCAAGAAAAAAACATGGCTTTTCAGTGAGAACCACAAATGTGATTTAATTTCCTATTTGTGTTAATCTGGATGTCCAAATCATCTAAAAGTAGGAAGAGGAATAGAGAATCCATTCTGTAAATCCAAATCCAATCCGCAAAGCTCATAATCCATTATGATCCATGATTGCCTCGTCCATTGCAGTTGTGGAATATACAAAAACATAACTTACTGTTTACTAGGGGTGTAAGAAAATATCTAAACATATATTGCAATATTTTATTTTATGATATTGTATCAATTCTCAAAAACACTATTGATTTTTGTGTTTATACCTCCAACCGCTAAATAGCAGTGCTGTCAGCGTAAACTGGGGGCTGTGATGTTGGATGTTTGACAGTCACAAATGCAGATCCCAATTTTCCAGTTGCATAAAAAAGGTTAACTTTTTTAACTCAGATATTATGCATATGGTTGTGTGTTCCTTATACTATTTTTTATTAAATCACAATATATCACAACATATTGAATCGTAAGCCCTGCATCATGATACATACTGTATCACCCAATGTTTTCAAATACACAGCCCTACTGTCACTACAAAACCTCAATTTTCCAGTCAGTTCAATTTACTTGATCTCAGCTTGATCAACTTACAATAGACACTTTTCCCAAATAACTTAAATACCTGAAGAGCACAAGTCTCCACAAATATATAACATGGTGCCTGAGTAGTGACTGAGTATAGTTCAAGTATGTAAATCTTTGTATTTGACACCTGAGTGAGTATGGTACAATTAGTCATCTTCTGTTTGAATGACTTACATGCTGGTTGTAGATGATCACCCCCTCCTCACAGGTGGGCTTGTGGGTGCACAAGTGCTGGTGAACACACCAGTTACAACCCCATCGGCTCAGAACACAACCTCGGCAACTGCACACAGAAACAACAGGATGTACAGATTAGAAATAATATCTTCAGTGGATGGACACGGTGCAAGGTGACACAAAAAAGCAAAGGGAGAGGAAAACAATGAGTCGGGGTTAGGAGCTATGGAGAGAAAAGTGGAGAGAGGTCTAATAGAAGTAGTATGGGCTTTTTATCTAGAAGAGGGGAAAAGGGAGTGGGGAAAGAATAGAGAAAGAGAGATATAGCTACTGTAGCTCGTATTGCGCAGAGTAATCTAATTACTGCCAATCTGGCCCCAGAGGTAAGAAAGGTCAGCGATCTAATTGAATTGAGCCTCAGTTTCTTATCAGAGTGAGAGGCTGATAGAGGGAGCATGTCTGGAAACACAGCAAAGGAGGATACTATGCAAGTATTCGGCACAGTGACGTTCGGAACACACTACATTTTCATCCAATTTGAATAGGGCTCATTATTATTCAGTTTATTTCATTTATCAAACAAAGCAGCTTTTTTTCCTCACTTTCTGTTAATGGAAGTTTATCAGCAGAGGACCCAGTCCACTGGTATCTGTTTGACGTGATTACACTAGTTGCTGTAGTTTTACGATGAAGCTGCTGCTAGGAGGCTATCTGAAAATGCTCAGTATGTTCAGACACCGCTGTTCTCAGTGCTCTGGAATGTTCCACTGACGTAACTGATTAAATGTGTGCTAAGACCTCCTCAAAAACAACAACAACGTAAAAAGAAAATAGAGTTGAAAAATATGTTTTACACATTCACTGATGATGTGATCAGTTATATTTTTGACACATTATGATAATCTTTTAGTACATTTGGTCAGCTGTACTCTGTACTAGTTGGTAACATGGTAAAAAGACATAATAAAACAGCCCTAAAAACAGTCAAATAGGGAAGACAAGGTGTATCACGTATAGTCAAACAATATATATATTATATTATATTTTAAACCTAAAAACATGTTTGAAGTGACAAAAAGATATGTACAGGGATTATCAACACTTGTAAACACCATCAGAAGTCAAAATATTAGCTAATCTGTAGCTGTAGTGCTACATACTACACTATCAATTTCAAGAAACAGATACATTTGGACTGTTATTTGCTTTTGAGCCTACTGAAAGTTTCTCCTAGTAATCAAAAGGCCTCATGCAAGAACCAACAGGTTTGTTCTTGAGCTACAGTAGCTCGTCGGTTGGATCGGCCCAAACGGGCCAGCCTTCACTCCCCACGTGCATTAATTAGCCTTGGCCCCCATGACCCTGTCTCCGGTTCACCACTTTTGTTAGGTACTGACCACTGCAGACAGGAACACCCCACAAGAGCTGCAGGTTTGGAGATGCTCTGACCCAGTCGTCTAGCCATCACAATGTGGCCCTTGTCAAAGTCGCTCAAATCCTCATGCTGCCCATTTTTCCTGCTTCTAACATCAACTTTGAGGACAAAATGTTCACTTGCTGCCTGATATATCCCACCCACTGACAGGAGCCATGATAACCAGATAATCAGTGTTATTCACTTCACCTGTCAGTGCTCATAATGTCATGACTGATCGGTGTACAATTTAATGCAAAATTCATAGTCAGTTCACCATATCATCATCATTTCTTGACAATTTAGCGAGGGGTTTATTTAAAGATTTTTTTCAGATTTTATTGCCATTTGGGTATGGCAACTGATCAGTTCAGTAGTTGCTGGAAAATTCTCAGCTGCTGAGTGTTTGGTGAATGCCAATATGGAAGTTTAGGATAAAAATATGAAAAGCATGAGGCCCAGCGTCTTCCACCTCTTAAATGATGGAGATCTATCCTGAACAAAGCCAGTCAGTGTGGAACTGTGTTCACAGTTAAACCCAGGCTCAACCAGCACAGCCGAGCCATGTGATGTGTATATGTTGAGATGGAAAGACTACTGAGAGAGAGAGAGAGAGAGAGAGAGAGAGAGAGAGAGAGAGAGAGAGAGAGAGAGAGAGAGAGAGAGAGGGGCAGGAGTCAGATGCCTGCAGCTTTCATGGGCCACCAATGATATATATCATGGAATATATGGACATGAATGAATGACTGGCTGAAGTATGAGAGTATTTAAAGTACAGGGTCACAGGTTTGGAGAGAAGAATTAAAACCAGGAGAGCAAGTAAGAATAAATGGAAAAACACAGACATAAGTCAGACAGGTGGAGGGTGAATTGACAAAGAATGAACAGGGTACAAAATGGAAACAGTCTCAGACAGACTTGATTATAAGGTGTGCAGTGAGCAGAGCACATCGGGACGAGAGCTGATAAATCATCGGTGGGTAACTCACGGCATGCTGCCAGACAGCTGCTTAACAGCCGTGCAGTCGTAGAAGGTGAAATCCCTTGCTGTGACGGTGACATCGCCAAAACGGAGAGACAGGGTGACTGTGACAAAGTCTGAGGAGAACAAAACACGGAGAGAAAGACAGCATGAACATCATGTTTCACCGGAGCACAGGGCAGAGCAAGCAGGCCTCTGAAAATATTTGGCCAGGCTTATAGCCTCTGATTCAGAGACAATGAGAAAAGGGATGAGTGCGATGTTTCTCAAAACAGCGAGAGGATGTGGAAGAAGGTTTGGTTTCAGACAGCCAAAACACAGAGACCTAATAGAACCCATGTGCACCCTGAATCTTCAGCACAGAGAGTGCAGACATAAACACAGCAGGGCACAATGCTCAACACTGTAAGGTTCCCCGTTTTAAAGCTAAAAGAGGCTACACTGCACGGGTACACTTGGTAAAAAATAATAGAATACTTAAAAGGTTATACAGATGAGATTTAAAACATTAGTACAGCAGCAATAAACTATTATATATATAAAGATATAGTGGAGTCATGGTGTCATAAAGAGAGCTCCATTATGACGCACAGACATTAGATCCATTGTTGTTATAAAAACATTGATCTGTAAAGCTTTATGGTTCCAGCTTGCTTCCAGAAATAACCACTAGCAGAACACTGAGTTTTTTGTTTTTTTTTAGTTTGTCGGGTTTTTGGCGTTTTTGACGCATTTCGCGGCCACCTTAGTTTCTCATGAAGTTTCAATCTGCAACTACACCGCTAGATGCCACTAAATCCTGGACCTTTAATTAGTGTCTGTGAGATCTGCCACCAAATCAAGAGTCAGTCCTTTGGACTTTTGGACAACCCAGAGTTAAAACTGAAGTTTTGTTAAACAGGCAGCAGTCAGGTGAGAATCTGATCTCCAACTTTAAAGCAACAATTGCCCTTACAGGCCTTCAGCTCTGTCTTTTATTAAGTGAGCGCTGGCACTAACCCTCTTTAAGCAAAGGTAAGCCACAGCTAGATCCTTAAATATAGCCTGTGTGTCCGTATCTCAGTAAACCCCCCAGGCTGATTCTGTGTGAGCCCGGCACCATGAGAACTGCAACAAGCTGCAAGTTTCAGGAATGCAGGCATGGGAACCAGTGAGTGTGAGTGTGAGTGTGAGTGTGAGAGAGAGAGAGAGAGAGAGAGAGAGAGAGAGAGAGAGAGAGAGAGAGAGAGAGAGAGACACACACATATAAATCATGTGAATGTTTGGGTGAGTGTTTGGGTGAGTGTGACCTCTGTACAGGCTTCAATTTTTATTTAGCCCCTTTAATCATTGCCACTGACTATAACCAACAAGTTGTGCTCAGGACACTAAACAATCACCCAAACCAATAAAACCAAAGCATTTATCAAAGCATAGATTCATTTGATGAAATACATTTTTGGAGAGTTGCATGCTTTATAATACAGATTACCCCCTGCTGTGTAAGCCGACTTAGAAAAAAATGGGTTGGGTTAGCCCAGATTCATGGACACAGGGATTGAACTGTATAGGTATATGCAAACACACACATACACAAATACACACAAAGATTAATCTCATTACAGGATGCAGCCAAATCCTCCAGTCAGAAAGTTGAAGAGTTCAAACCAGTAATTAAACTCCAGCTTCATCAGCTTTGCTCCAGGAACAATAGTCAGGTCTAGGGTGAAAACACACTCACCCTGTCCTGGGGGAACCATGGGTACTCGGCTGGGGTCAGGAGAATGGCAGGTGACGCCGCTCTCAGTGACAACGGCGGGACTGCGGCTGTCCTGGAAGAAGCAGGAGTAGGACTCGTCTTTCTCTAACACTGGAAGTCCTGGGACCGACAGAGACACCTGAGGAAAGACCCAACATTAACACTCATTCAAACTACTGGCAGATCACTTCAGACACAAGTCCATATTTCATTTCATTTTTATTTGTTCTGCTCATGATAATGCACCACTCCAGAAAAAATTTAAATAAAAGGCGATTCCCAATCAAAACACAACTTTATTTACACATTCCATGACCGAGGGAGAAGGAAAATCTCATTCTGCCTAACCCTTTCTCAAAACATAAATAAACATCAGAAACAGATGGTCAGTTACAGTGATTTAAAGCTCCAGTATGTAACATTTACAACACTGCTATCTAGCAGAATGGATACAAGATCACAGAATAATATATCAATAATACAATACAATATTTTCTTACACCCCCAAGGAGCTACAACACAGCTCAGTGTGGCCATTCATATCTGATGGAGTTTTCTTCAGCCTTTTTCCCACGCAATTTGACATCAGATGTGATCTCTGACAGCATATAGAATGGACAGAGCCGTTGTTTCCTGCTACGGACGAGTCTGAACTGCGCAGCACAACAGCAGTACGTCACCTCTGCTGGCCCCGACAAACTGTCATGGTGACGACCATAATGCCAAACTCGCGGCTTCAAAACTCCAGAAACAAATGTGTGATGTCACAATATGTTGACACTTGGATGCGACAGGTAGAGCAGAGGACAACCAACATCCAGCCACAGACTGGTAGAGCATGCAGAACATTGTGTAGAAGCAGAATAAGAGCACAGGCAGAGTTATCCACACCTGTTCTGTGTTCACAGCTGAGTGCAGTGAAGGTCATAATGACAGTAAGTGATTAAACTGTCTGAACACATAAATCTGATCGGCTCACTTGTAAAATGTCAATGTGGAATAATTTGATCTGAAAACTAAATTAGATTCCAACGCTGCGGGAACATGAATCACACTGCTCAAACTCCTTGACCATTTATTATATTTTGTTATTGTGGCTCCATTCAGGTGGTGTTTCTGCACTGCAGCTCCAACTTATCATCTGTCAGTCAAACAGTATGACCTCCACAGGGACGTGTTTCCTTGGGTTTTCTCGGGATGAAGTCTGTGTAAGTGTGTGTTTCCTGGATTGTGTGTTCAGCAGTGGTGGCAATCAGTGCTGTCAATCAAACTACTGCCACAAAAGCCAAAGATTATCACTTTATTATCTCATGAAAGAAAAGCAGTAAACTCTCACAACTGTGAAGCCTGAACTACAATGTTTTGCTTTTTACACATGAAAAATGATCAAATAAAAGTAATACATTTTAAAAATATTTGGCCATTATTTCTCTGTTGATGGATTTCGCCTTTACAGCAAAGTCTTAAGAGCAAAGTTAACAAAACGACGGCACTTTTAAGAGCTGATATTCCATCATTTCTGCAATGTTTAGTAAATATAATAGATTCAGCATGATTCAATGTAACTCTTGGTTTGGTACTTGATCCAATTCTGTGCGTAACCGGTGTCTCTCATAAGGGTAATGTTATTTGATTAGTCTATTTTATGTCAGCTATTTCAGTGGTCAGCATCAGTGCCTCTACAGTTATATGCTAGCAGGATGTACAGTGGCTGTCAGAAGCTGTGGCATTAACCATTCCATAGATTTGAAACTAGTCCTGGATCAGGTAGAAACGATTGATGTATCGGGCATTTCAAATGTATAGATATAACACCCCCCCTGCCCATTTTTTATCATTGTATTTTTTATTTTTATTTTGTGTTTGTACCTCTCTTCTCTTTTCTTACCCCATTTGTGTTCTTTGCGTGTTTATAAATCGGTTGTCATATCAACCATTGAATATGTGTTTTGAATTGTAAATATGTAATGGTGCAATAGGTTAGGCTTACCTGTGGTTTGTAGAAGTTAAACAGCTAATAAAATACTTTGAACAAAACAAACCTAACATTTAGCATATTCAGTTGGTCACACTATATTCACAGTTCCACATAAACACGTATTTAATCCCACCTGCTCTAATTTACACTCACCCACTTTATAAGACTTATACAGACATTTTAAAAGGACAACATGTTCTTGAGTCGTCCTCTCAGTGTGTCTACTGTATATATGTTTGTCTCTGCTGCTATCCACGGGCACCATCTTCCACACAGATGACTGATAGTGTGTTCTTCTACTGCACCAGGACATGACAGGACAGGGCTCTGATCACTATCTTCTCTTGACACTCTGACACTAAACTAACTCGCATATCCAACACACACACACACACACACACACACACACACACACACAGTACCAACAGCCAGCGTACAGTAAAGCTCCCAGCTCAGCTGATAAGGAATTGTGGGATGAGTTACCGCGAGGCGATATGTGGGCCTCAGCTTTGTGGTGTTTTGGTATGTGAGGTTATGTTATTGTTGGGGGCCATGGACACAGTACAAGCATCTGATCTGTGTATTCTGTATTGGATAAGATATTCTTGAGAAAAGCCTATAGGTGCTTGAAGTGGATGATTTTTTTCTTAATCTGCCGTCAACAGAAACCAAAAAAAGATGTGTTTCCCCATCCTGACTTTAATCCCTTCTAAGGACGTGTTCAGACTGGTAGATGTACATCAACAGTTTTGCTTTGTAACTGTTTTGCAGACTTACCGTCCTGCTCTCCTCCCTGCTGACGTTGGAAGGGTTGAGGTCCTGGATGGCCAGACACTGCTGCTCCATGTCAAAGCTCCAGAGCCACTGACCCGGCTGCTTTCCACGAGCACACGCGGACTGCAACACACATCTGCAGGGACAACACCAAGGCTGCCCGGTTACATCATGTACACAACCTTGTGAACCTATGTTGTTAACTAAAGTCAGGCTCTCCTGACTGTCAAAATCTATAAAATACACACATAAAGGTTATATGAGATATAGAACATTAATATATCAGCAAACAATTAGTATCTATGTAAAGATATAATGAAATCATGGTGTACTGGGCCGGCACTTATGGTCCATCTGCCTGTGTTGCTATGGCAGCCTCTCTGTGGTTTGTTTCCATAGCCAGTCTGCTCCGAGTGCAGCTGAGTAGAGCGACTGAAACTGCTGTTTGTATTATTGTGGTTCCATGTCAGTGAATTAAGGATTTATTTTGACCAAAACGGAAATGGTGATTATTGGAAAAGTGTAATAGACTGTTTAGGTGAGTTTTTTGGTTTTGTATCTGTCCACTTTGAATAAAGTTATAATGATATGTAAGGTGGAATGACTAGTTTCATCCATGGAGTCTAGTGGTGAGCGACAGTGATATTATGGTTGTTTCTGTATAACCAAAATGTCTATCTCTGTAGGGATCCTTTCCATAATGAATAACTGACTTAGAAGAACAACAACTTTTAGTGGACAGACTTTGACAGGTCTATTTGTCCCCAAGGATTAGCTAACATTATACAGCAGCCATCATAGCACGTAACTGTGAATTAAGAATTTGTTTTTATTTGTGTCTGTACACTTTGACAATGTAAACTTTTTACAATGTAACGATGATATGTGAGGTAACATTACTGATCTTGTCTATGGAGTCTGGTCTGATGTAGTGCCCATTGTTTTGGTCTGAGATGCTAGTGCCCTAGTGGCAAGTGAATTATGACTATGAAATTTACAACTCACACCATGAAAATAATCTTCAGTTCATACTGAAAATGCATAAATCACACTACGATTGTAAAACTACACACCGACTGGATTGTCAACATGTTTTTCTCAGTGGCTTAGAGGTGCTAACTATTTAATGTAGAACATGTGAAACAAGTTGGAAAAAAGATGAGAACAAGGAAAGACAAACATATTCCAAACAATAACACAGGACTGTTGTGAAGCTAGGAAGAATGGAAGAAAATGAAGGAAGGAGTGAAGATGGAAAGAGAGGAGCAGAGAGGAAAACCATCCAGGTGAGAAGGAAGAGGGAGGAGGAAGGCCAGGTGGTGAGGCAGAGCAGTGAGGAGAGGGGAGGAGACACAGATGGGATGGAAAGGTGGATTTCTTTCATCAGGCTCAAACAGAATCCCAGCAGACCACACTCACTCGTTTTTTAAGATGACTTGGCAAAACCACTAAACTAACAAGGTTGCCAGCAGTTTTCTTGTCCACTGATACATGCGTCAGCACTGTACTTTTTTTCCCAGTAAAAATTCTTTGAACAAGACCTGTGTGAGTCTAAGTGAAAACATTTCACAGCAACATGAGCAGCTCATTTATAATGTATTTTGCAATTTAAAGCAACAACAGAATAACAAGCAGTCAGTACTGCGTATAACAGGAGTAAGAGTACATTAAAGGTCCAGTGTGTAACATTTAGGAGGATCTATTGGCAGAAATGGAATATAATATTCATGGGCATGTTTTCCTTAGAGTGTATAATCACCTGAATATAAGAATCATTGTGTTTTCGTTACCTTAGAATGAGCTGTTTTTATCTACAAATGGGAGTGGGTCCTCTTCTACGGAGTCCACTATGTTGAACCACCATGTTTCTCTCAGAATGGACAGACCAAACACTGGCTCTAGATAGGGCTTTTTGCATTTTTCACAGGCCACCATAGTTTCTCTTACACACTTGGAAAGGGGGCAACATACAGTTGGTTGCAATCTGCAACTTCACCACTAAATCCTACACACTGGTCCTTTAAATGTGAATTAAACAAAACATTTCCCTTTCCCTTTTCAAAAAGAAAATAAAACATCCTTCCTCTCACTAGAACTAGCATTAGCATACGTGGTATGAGAACAACAAATGAGCTATTTTTTTCTTAGATTAAGTAGTAAATTCAGTTCAGTTTCAGACACTGTTTATCAAATGCTTGATTAGGACATATCCAGGACTGGAGATTATCTCACCTTCCCTCCAGGACACACCAGCCACAGTAGGGGTCGTGGGCCAGCACACAGGAGAGGCAGTCTGTGTGCTGCTGGCATTCAGCCACCGGCCTTTTCTGCAGCTGGAACCAGGACAACACAATCATGTTCAGTCGTGCAAATCATGCACACTAAGCTCCCAGAAATCTGATTAAACAGAATAGGTGGCCCACATATTCCAGTGGACAATGCAAAATGAAAATATGGTCATTAGAATAATCCTAACTACTGTCTGAATTACTGGAAGAGAGAATTGGAGCAGAAAACAAGAGTCTAAGTGATTCCTATTTAGCTTTTTTACCGCAACACAGGAAGGACGCGTCTAGAAATAAAAGACTAAAATGAGGCTACAAGAGTGCAATTACTGTATGTTGTGTCTCTGTGTGTGCATATACCATGTTATAAGTCATGATGAAGAGATGTTCTTCTTTCTGGTCCAGTATCAGGTCTGAACTGATAGCTGCGTTCTGCTGAATGGAGGTGATGGCGTACTCCTCCACCTCGCCGTTTGGTCCAAGGAACACCTGAGGAAATGTACACATACACATGAATGTTGTGATTATGTAAGACTGTCCTTCTGTTAAGCTTCATTTTAAATGAGAACATAAAAATAGGCAGTTTAATTATTTTTCCTTCTTGAAATCTTCATAACACTGTTATGGCATATCTCATATTGTGCATGTGGTCATGAACTATCAAAACGGGGACCCATTCACAAAAACACTGCTACATAGAGCTACTACAGGTCAGAAACTCAGGTCCTGAAAGTGCCATAATGGGATCATATTAGCTACTGAGCATGCATGTCAACAGATCTGTCTCCATGAGCGCTGAGCTAACTCCATACACTGATGAAGACCATGTGATGTGGTGGAAAGCTTCAACAAAAAGCTAATAAGTGGATGTCAAGTTGAGTTGAAGAAGTAGTTCAACAGAACTCTAAAAGAGAACTCCACAGACTTTGCACTGCACTCCTAAACACTGTCCGATTCACGACGGATAGTTTATTTTAAAAAAGGGGGCAGCAGAACCACAGATCTTTTCTTCCTTGTAAAAACCTGTTATCTACACTACCCAGAATTAAACTCAGCCACTGACAGTTCATTCTGAGATTAGCATGTGTTTATGCTAGTAGCCGTTAATGTAGCCTCAAGCCACTAAACTCAAGCAGAGATGAGGAACAGACTACAGAGGTCTGGTAAGATCATGTCTTCTAACTGCATGCGGTTCCAGAGCTGCAGGTTGCCTACCCCTGCCACAGGATGATGAGTCAAAGGTTTGACAGCATGAGGAGACACATCCAGATAGTTAGTGCCAACACACAGTTTAAATGCTCTGACATACAACCACAAAAGATAGCATCAAAATGAAGTGGAAAAAGAAATATGTCCAGATTTCCAATCTTGCACCACAGGATGGTGAGACAAAGATGAGTCTGACAGCATGAAGAGACAATTCCAGATAGTCGGTGCCAACACACAACCTAACAACATTAGTTGTAGGTGTCTGTGAGCAGTCCTACATTGTGCAGGATGTTAAAAGTCTAGAGGTGCTGTAATGTGAGTTAATACCAAATGGCAGCCTGACCAACAGCTCCACATCAGCCGTTTGAGGCTATATCCAGGAGCATGAACTTCAACTCCATTCCATCTCACGTCATTATTCCACTGTAAGGGGAACTCTGCCGGAACAAGGACAGCAATCATTCTAATGGGAAAATCCAGCACAGGTCAGGTGGAAGTGTGGATTCCCCAATCTGGCCTGTGATGTGCCAGGGCGTCTCCGTAAAGCTAATCCCATTTTCCAGGTATGTGGAGGATTTGAGGTCAGCTATGCAGTGTCACTCTTTGATCCCACAGATCCTCAAAGACACACTGGCCAGGCTGTTATACCTGTCTGTCCAGACTACAATAACTTCCTGAAAGTACACAAAAGAAGGGGAAACAGACAATTGACTAAATGACATCGCTTTCTTCAAACAAGTAAAAGAAGAGCAGAAGGGATGCACATCAGGGGCAGGACAAAATGTTAGCAAATTGGAAAAACAAATAACTCAATATATGTCCGATAAAATAGAAGACAAATACAGATGTGAAAGGAGGAGTAGGGAATGTAAGAGTGAAAGTTAATCTGGAAGCTCTGAGTAACAGCCATTGCATGCTTGCGGCACAAAACCCCTCTTTCTTCCAGCATTACGCACTGAACTGACCTCAACAAAACAAACATTTAGAGATGGAATCCTCACTGGTCAGCATCTAAGTCTTCATGCAACAGTTTATGAGACTGGTGAGGTTTCACCAATTAGACTTCCCTGAAAGTCACACTGGCTCCTGTGTCTTGAACACCAGCTTAACTTCATTTAGCTCCCTTGTTATTCCCAGTAGCTGCAATTAGCTAATCACAGCACACCATGTTTATCTGCCAGGGGCCTGAGGTCACCAACGGTGGGAGGGGGTTGACGTATCGCAATCAAAACATAAGATTACATTTTCTTATGTAAATATACACAACAGACAAGGAAATTCAAGGTAATATGAAATGATCATTTTGTATTGCTCACCCTTCCTTCAGGCAAAACACGTTTAAAGTACCATATCGCTCGTAGAAATATCTGAAAAATAACTTCATACCAGAAACTACTGAATGACAGCCAAAATTTACTTATAGGTCCAGTGTGTAACATTTAGGAGGATCTACGGTCAGAAATGGAAAGGCCCTATCTACAGCCAGTGTTTGGTTTGTCCGTTCTGGGCTACTGTAGAAACAGGGCGGTTCAACATGGCTCATTCTAAGATGACGAAAAGACAATGATTCTTATTTTCAGGTGATTTTACACTAATGAGAACATACCTATGAATATTATATTCTATTTCTGACAATAAACGACATCCCTGAAAGACCTAATGAAAACCAGAGGAGTGGAGGCTGTTACAGCAGCACATTAATACTTGTGTTTTGGAATCACATATTCAGCTCTTACAATCATAAATGGCTGTAATTTGTCCACATACTTTTGGCCATATAGTTTATTTCATGTAATATCAGCGGAGCTTTGGAACGCTGATACAGCAGGCATATAAAGACAAAGAATAAGAAGCAAAGTCTGCTCGCCAATCGAGGAACTACTGGACGGGCAGGCAGGAAGCGCCATGATTTATTGTGAGAACAGACATAAACTCTAATCTAAAGAGGAGAACTGCTTTAATCAGCTGGGAAAGAATCTGCTGAGTGTGTGAAGTGATCGAACAACAACAAGCAAAGAGCCCATTTCAAACTAAAACACAGACAGTATCAAACAATGTTAAGTATTTCAGCACAGTTCACAGCAGAGGTAAATAAATTATTCTGACTCATGTGCCCTCATGCCTCATAACTAGAAAATAGTTTTCTGCTTAAACTTAATAGATGAACTCAGACAACAATTAAAAAGTTTAAAGTATTTAATGTGCATAGTCGCTGCTCCATTACCCGGTGTTTAGGGTGGACAGGCAGGAATAGACCTTTTAATTGATCTACTGCACGGGACTGTGTGAGCGATCCAGCAGGAAATGACACAAGACCAAACTGCACTTTGCCTTCTGTCTGTACATACCTTATAAAAGATGTCAACATAGGCATACTTGAATAAACATTTATTACCCCTGCCAAGGAGATTATGTTTTGGGTGCCATTTGTGGGCTTTGTGTCTGTCAGCAGAAATAAGGAAGAACTACTGGTGGAAGAGTGTGGCATGGGCCAAGAAAGAAACCATTACATATTGGAGCCAATCTCAATCACGGGGCAGATACATGAATTATTTCTTTATTGTTGTAATTAAAGCTGCAGTAGGTAATTTCCCCAAAAAAATGTTTTTCTCATATTTGCTGAAACTTTCATTATATCCTGACAGTAGAACATGAGACAGATAATATGTGGAAAAATCAGGTTCCTCTGGCTCCTCCTAGTGCTCCTAATGGTATTTACAAGAATCCACCGGGCCTGAACCAAAACAACCAATCAGAGCTGCGAAAGATGATGATTGTGGAGTCTCATTCCCAGGTTGTCAAATACGGTTTGGAACCCTGGGAATGACGCTCAACAATCAACTACAGTCAAGCCACCAACCGGGGTGGTGGGGTCTTTACACGTTCCTTGGCTCGGATTGGTTGTTTTCATCAAGGCCTGGTGGATTCCTGCAAATGCCATTAGAGGCGCTAAAATGAGCCAGAGGAACCTGTTTTTTCCAGTTTGTCTGTCTTATGTACTATTGTCAGGAAATAGTGAAAGCTTTAGCCAATACAGCAACAAATAAAATAATAATAAATATATTTTTTTATAAATGTTACCTACTGTAGGGTTAGGTGCAGTGACTAAACATACAACAAAACGCAACAGCCACCTCAAACATCACTGTAAACAAATGCAGCACATGTTAGAAAGTAATACAGGATGTGATTTTTCCAGATTAGTCCGGAATTCCATATTTTTTGCACGAACTTGTTGTAATTAAAGTGTGAATACAGATTTGTGTATCATAGAAGACTAGACTGTTGGCCTTGGCGGAGGTCCGTGCTTTCTGAGTGACTGTCTAGTTAAATATATTTTCAAATAAAACAACAAAACTCCCAGTTTACCAATTTAACATAATTTTTTATATCACTATGAGTATGACAGCCACTAGAGGGCATAGGCTTACTGTAAATGAATGAATAAGTGTAAAAAAACAGAGGAACAACTTTGTTATCATATTTTCTCTGGATCTTGGGGCTTATTTGTGTCTGAAAGTCGGTCTTTTACACACAGAGTACATCAGATGAACAGTTAAGGGTGCTAGCGAAGTTTAAATTTAAATGTTCATTGTTGTTGGTTGCAGTGAGGAGGACAGACTGACAATGTGTCCATTAATGAGAGTGACATTGACTCTGACACTGTCTGCTGTTATGACCGATATCTCTACATAATTCTGAATGAATGTCTCTGTTGGGTAGTGAATGTGTCTGCCAGCCAGCGATGACAGTGCACAAGCTCCGTTATCTTGGTCACCGTGTGCGGCTCAGGGTTTAGCTGGCTCTGTGTGACGTAACTGTGCAGAAATATGTTAATGGCTGTCATTGTGCTACTTCTGGTTGTGCAGGGGGCCTCAACCACAAGCCACCATTGAGAAAAGTAGAATGGCACAAAGGGCCGACTGTGCAGAGGAGAGCTCACGATCTGTAAACTCCTGATATGAAGGGGCCCCTGCAACCTCCCTGCTCCACTGACCCTCTTGCTTAATCCAGTGTTTCATGTTATCAATAATCTCAATAGATATATAGAATAAATACCCTATTCTTGTGATCAACAAGCCGAACCTGGTCCTAAACAGCTTTTATGTTTCCCAACAAACACGTGTTCTTAGCTGATATGTTCTATGCAATTACGTATGCCAATGTCCTTTGCTTTCCTTTGATTTCTGTCCACAACATCCAAACAATTCCATGTGTCTCCTTGCGTACCAAGCCTCCCCCGACCTCATTCTGAACCCACAGAGACACTGCCATAAGTGACCCCGCTGTGACTCTCAACTGTGCCCCCTGCATTCAACTGCACCACCTCGGAAATCAAACAGCCCGTTGAGGACAACGCCACTTCAGAGGAGCTTCACATGATCCTCCCATCTATCTGAGCACTCACAGAATGTTGAATGTGACCGAAAAGTACAGACATTTCTATTAAGTGCCCCCCAGTGGCAAGTCCACTCTTGTTCCTATAATTTGGGGTGGACCACATATTACAAACACCTTATAACACCTATAATTTAATGCAAATTCATCTGGACAACAGTAACATCTATGTGAGAATGCTGTTCATTGACTTCGGTTCAGCATTCAACACCATCATCCCCTCTGGTCTGATCACCAAACTCAGCAACCTTGGCATCAACACCTCCCTCTGCCACTGGATACTGGACTTTCTAACCAATAGACCCCAATCTGTTCGGTTAGACAACCACACCTCCTTAAGTCTAACCCTGAACACCGGTGTCCCACAGGGCTGTGTGCTGAGCCCCCTCCTCTACTCCCTCTTCATCCACGATTGCACACCTGTACATGGTTCCAACACCATCATCAAGTTTGTGGACGACACATGATGATTGGCCTCATCAGTGACAACGATGAGTCAGACTACAGGGAGGAGGTCCGGCACCTGGTGACCTGGTGCGCCAATTTGTATGCAACTAAATCCTGCAGTTTTCAGTAGCTTTTTGTAAAACAGTATTTATATCAATTGTTTGGAACCAGTGAAGATATTAACAAAAGTCTACAAGTTTTTTGCAGGTTGTTATAATATAACAGAATATTACATAACAATCTAGGAGGGACAGCATTAAAGCAATAAAGCAAAATTAAGCAACAGCCCTATTTCTACAAGCAGGTAAGGTTGTGGGTGATGAATAAGCATGTGAACATCTAGATGTACACCTATAAAAGTTCTAGAAATAAAACTTTGCAACATTAGGTATAAAGACTTAAAGACATCCAATTTCAAAACTTGTGAATTTATGTGCCACATGATAGAACCTTGTTTTATAATCTTTTTATGGTCGTGGGACACCAGAGGCACTGATTTATCGGGCATGCACTGATGGTCGTCTATGTTCTCATCATTTACTGGATGAGTGGAGTTGGACAGAAAATCTACCAAAATCTCAGTGCAGTCCTTTAACAAGACAGAAACAGCTCTCAAGAAATAATATCAGGAGCAGAGTCCTGGTACATCTTGAGTTATGAGTCCAGCCTGCCTGCCTCTACACACAGACTATTTTAGACCTTCACTGGCTGGCAGGAGAATAGAGAGCGGCCGGTGTCTGGAGGTGAACAGAGAAATTGGATGTCTGCTTGGTTGACTACCATGTCTGTTCAGGGACAGGTGTTACAGTTACATGAGAACCAAATAGGGTCTGAAATGCAAATAATGACACAAGTTGTCGAGTATGCCAGACTATTACTTCATATTTCCAGCAATAACAGCACAATCCCTGCATAACATCACAGCTAGCACATAAACAAAGTATACCTTGTGAGTGATTTTGGTGTGTGTGTGTGTGTGTGTGTGTGTGTGTGTGTGTGTGTGTGTGTGTGTGTGTGTGTGTGTGTGTGTGTGTGTGTGTGTGAGGAAATCAGCGACACCAAACCTTGTGCAGATTCCCCTTGGAGTCTCCCAGGAAGGCGATTGTATGTCCCACCCTCACGCTGACGGCCACGGCAGTGAGACGGGCTGACGGGCTGTCTAGTATGGTCTCTGCCTCTACCGCCATCCTGCTGGCCATTGGGCTGGGGGTGTGATCAGAGCCGCAGGGGTAGGCTTCCAGAGTGTTCTAATAGTGGGGACACAGCACAAGACAGTCAGTGTGTGTCATGTTCAGGTAACAAGCGGGTTGAGACCAAAAAATAAATAACACTGCTTGTTTTGTGCTACTAGAATTACCACCCCGCAGTTGTATGCCTCTGACAACCGGTCAAGCTGCAGTTTATATCCATGTCTGTCCACAACGCCACAGTTAGAAAGGCTTTAGTTAACAGATGCACACACAGAGAGCTCTCCAACATCACAAACCAACAGGTACGTCTGAAATGAGGGGGTCATTTGGGTTCACTGGTAATACTAGTCCCATGCAAATAGGGCTATTGTTGTACCCCAATAAACATCTTTGTGACATTCTGTCATAATTGCCACATCAATTCTTGAGTGATGGCCAAAAACCAAATTCTAAATCAGTTCATCCTTGAGTCCCAGTGGACACGTGCATATCTGAAGAAATTCCCTCGAGATATTGTGTTCACAAGCATGAGAAGGATGAATGGACAACCTGAAAACCAAAAAGTCATGCCAGCATGGAGGCATAAAAAGTTATATTTGTTATTCATTTCTCAGCAAGTAAGCCAGTTACCAAAAATAAAGCAGTAGTGTTCCTATTGTGGTAAGAAGTAAAATCCCAGCAGGATTTATTATGGAGGAGTTGGGGTTCGGGAACAAGCTATCACTGGATTCCAGCGACTTCTAAACTCTGTGCTTTAAAGCTTATGGGCTATTTGTTTTTACTTCCACAGTCTGGCAGTGGGGAGTCTTTGCTCTGGCTGCACGGTTGTTGTTTTGTGTTCCAGGCAATTTATTTTTTGATGAGAAGGTTTGAAAGCGGGGTCATTGCTTCATCATTGGTAGTCTTAACAATAGGAAGTAGAGGCAATGAACCTGAGAGCTCTGCCTGCTGAGGACTTCTTGTTTTGATGGATTGCATGCAGTTGGCTGGTGTGTTGTTATGAATGGACTCCTTATTCGGCCTGCTATTACAAAACAGAGATTGCTGATATACCAGCATTGCTGAACTTCCATCACATACATACTTTCCTGATTACCCCACGACTGCCAGCTTTAAACTTGGTTGTAGTAACATAACTATAGAGTGTCCAAACAGCTATATATAGGCCTCAGTGAGTATTGATTAAGTTAACCATGGGGAGTGAAGGAGAGTTTAGACTGCCTGTTTTGTCCACATCATGAGAACCCAACCATTAGAGGAAAACAAGCAGGGGTGACTGCGTGCTAAGAATAGCCCCAAACGACATTATGACTCCTGAAATAGTTATGAAGTTATGACGTCCAGTCTAGGAACAAGGCCTGGAAGCCTAAAGGCTGGTGTGTCACTGACTGCCCTGGCCCATGGATGCCCATAGTGGATGATTACACCATAATGACACAGGCTGCAGAGCACTGGGCGGGCTGCAATCATCTGGACATTTAGCTGTTAACACTGAGGGCAGTAATAACCACGTGGGAGTGAGAGAAAACATTGCAAAAGTTGCATTTCGGCTCCTAATGTTCAGTAGAAGTCCTGATAGTCCTAAAGTCAGTAACAAAGCGTGTCCCCCACAGCTTAGAGCTTGCGTGAGAGTCCGTCCCTGGTGCAGATGGACTGTCGTGGCAAAGACTGAACAGGGAAGAAGCTGCTTTGGTGTTGTTTGTGTACAGGGATCCAATTGAGATTTGACATCTTGATGACACCGTAAATCTCTTTTCAGCTCCAAATCTCTCATCACTGTCCCCTTCTAGCCATATGGTGTACTTTGGCTCCGCCTTTTTTTTACCTTCACTTCACAAAGGCAAATATTCATATATGTCCCGCCCACTCCCACCCTAAATGTTCTTTCACTTTGCTTCTGCTCCCCTGTGCATCTCTATTCTTTTTCTCCTCCAGAGCGTCGTGTCTGCCTCGTGTTTCTTTATCCGTCCTTGTCAGGCCTCGTTAAACATTACCCCCCAACCCCACCCCACTAAGTACAGCTAATGCCGCAGATCGATCCCTCCCTGACCAGCAATTCTATTAAATTACACTGCCCGCGCTGCCGTCTCCCCTCGAGCCAATCTGTTGTACGCGTCTGCACGGGTTGAGGGGTCGGTGCTGCTCTGCGTCCTCAACACAGGAGGAAGCGATAATGGAGGAGGATAGCCCCAGAATGTCCATCCAAACACACACACATGAATACACCACATAAAGTTAGGCTTTCCAGAGATGGTGTTATGAGAGGGCCAATCTAATTCAATCCCTCCTCCACAGCATTACATCTGCCTATTACAAAAAATATCAAATCTAATTTCATCTCATACAAAGGTCACTTTGCTGGAGTAGGACGGCCCTGGACAGCTTCAGATTCATGGCACCAGCTTTGGCAGATGAAAGCCTTTATTCAGTATAGTCATCACAGGAAAACAAATTAGTCCTCTAAAAAGAAAGAAAATTGGAGAGCATGTTCTTCTGTAAACAGAACAATGAAAAAATGAAAACAAGGAGGAGAATGTCAAATATACTGCGTTATTTAGTGACTTGTTCACAGTGTCTGCCTTATGTAAAAAGAAAACATACTCCAATATAAAACACTGAGGGGGAGGAGGAAACACTCTCATACAATACAAGGCCATTTTTATTCTTCTTATTCTTATTCTTATAGGCACTCATTCTTAGCATGACACACAAACATACAATTACACACACTGACACATGGGAGTGCAGCGGTGTAACTGCTATCGGTTCAGTATGTTGCCCACTGTGCGGTTACACTGGAGAAAGTGACCGTAAGTGCCTCGCACAAGTGAATCTCAAGTGAGGGGAAGTTACTGAGGGCGGGGGAATGATTCAGGATCAGAATCACAGACTGGACATGAAAACTATTAGGGTTGTCAGTTTGTATTGAAAATTAAAACTACTATTCATTAATATTTAACAAATATTAATATTTATGATTTTTCTGAATTCAAAAGCCTATAAGCACAACATGCTGTGTCTTGTGCTACAGCAGGGAAGTCACTCTGACCCACTGCATGTCCTGTTGCCGTGTCAATAAGCTAGCGTATTGTTGCTCTCTTCACTAATGCAATACAGACAAAACTAGCAAGCAATGTTAAATGAATAATCCAAAATAATATTTCTGCAGTGGTTGATTATAGATGTGGGCCAGCTAACCTGAAACAAAAATAGTTCAATTGCAATTGCTAAATCTGGCAATACCAGAACATCTTAGCATCTTATTTCGACTCTAAAAGGTTGCTAAATTGATCACAAATACAGCGTGTCAGGATCCGAGTGCCTAGCCTGAAATGTGATGAAATGAAATATGAAGGGGGCGTGTCACAACACTTAAGTTTAAATACATTTCCATTCATACTTTCTTACTTTAATCAATGTTTTTTGTCCTTTCCCCTTATTTCCAGTCTGTGCTGCATGAGTCTCTAATCACAGGAGGTTATTTAAGAAAATGTGGGACTCTGCTCAGTTTGACTCTGATGAAGACAAATCTGGGGTTGAAATATCAGTCATTCAATAAAGTTTGTTCCAGTATACTTTGGACCCCAAAAGCTGAAGCCATTTGCTGCTTTTTAAAGGTGACATAGTTTATAATTAGGCTACATGGGTAGCATTCTAATAGATTTGAACCAATCATAGTAGTACTAATTATAGTAGTGTTAATTTGTTCACACTTGATTTTTTGTGACAAGTGACAGCCCTGATAAATGTAAAACAGGTAAGCACAGAAACAAGGAATCAGTCTGTTGAACTCACCTCTGGCAGGTTGGCACAGTTGGATTTGACTTCGTACTCTATGTACGCTGCCTCCACTCCTGCCTCTTTACCCATCTGAGTGTAGCACAGGTCTCTGGTGGAGTTAATCCTGCGGTCCACATCTTCGAGGTTAAACATGCAGAGGGCCGAGTCCTCGCTGGGCCGAGTCGATGAAGCCAAACGAGTGGAGAAGACACCAAGAAGAGTTTCTGAGCCTTGGGTCACCACACCGTCCTTGGTGAGCCCAAGCTGGACAGCTTGCAAGAGGTTGTAGATTTTCCCTGCCCTGGAACGGCATGTCAAGGGTACTTCCACGTAGGAGTAATAGGCCTGGTCATCCAAACAAACACGAGAGATGTAGGTGCGATACTCTCGTGACTGTGACTTTAGATCCCGCCGGTAGAAGAGGAAGTATACATGCTGACGGTGGGCGAAAGATGCAACAAAATGATGGTCGTATTCTGAGAGACGGCCAGCCACAGCCAACTTGGCAGTCTCCTCATAAGAAAAGACAGGGTCCTGTGCAAGGTTTCGTGTGGAAATAGGTGGGTGGCTGCTGGTGTAACCCCGCCCCACAAACAATACTGGCTGCCTGTCAGGATGAGAGCGAACCACAAGTCCCACCGTGCTAACATTGGGGTGGTTAGCTGCGACATATTGAGTATCCACTGGCCTCTCTGTGGAGAAGAGTACCACATTCACAGAATCCAGACTACGTTTCTGGCAAATTCCTTGGTTGACGCTCCCGCAGGTAATAAGCTCCATTGAATAAGGGTCGACCAGCAGGAGCTTGTTGTGGTTGCTGGTGGCCTTAGCCTGAGGGCAGTTGCTCTCAGTTACAGGAGGTAAGCACTCCCGGCTGTCTGTGACAGGTCCAGTGTCATCCTGGAGTTCAGGTTGGAGGAATCGATCCAGCTGGAACAGGTGATCCCGGGCCCCGACATAGACCCGACTCACACTGGGGTCAGGATGCAGGGCCAAGTGCTCGAACAGAGTGTCATTCCGGACAAAGGTGGGATAAAGCCTCAGGGGGAAGGAGTGTGATGCTTGGACAACACCCCTAAGTAATGAGGGGAAGGGCCAGCCAATGGCTAGCAGCAGGACAGACAGCAGTGTTTGGACTGCTAACACTGAAAGACGACGCACCATCCCCGGAGGCATGGCAGCAGAGCTGAGGGAAAGAAGACAGGACAGGTTGTTAGAAAGTATGTCTTTATTCAGTAGAAAAGGGTTTTTTCATAAATAATAAATAAATTCATTATTTTTGGTAAATGGACCTGTACTTGTAAAGTGCCTTTCTAGTCTTCCGACCACTCAAAGCGCTTTTACACTACGTGCCACATTCACCCTTTCACACACATTCACTCAGTGATGCAAAGCCCATCAAACAGAAACTAACTCATTCAAACACATTCACACACCGATGCACAGTTCAGTATCTTGCTCAAGGACACTTCAACGCGTGGCGGGAGGAGCCGGGGATCGAACCAACAACCTTCCGATTAGTGGACGACGAACTCTGCCTCTGAGCCACAGCCGCCCCTTTTTTTATGTATATAAATAGTTTATTGTCTGCACTGTACTGTACATACCATAGTAGAGATGGTGAAATGGTTTTTAGTTTTTAATTCAGACCATTTCAAGTAAATTATTAAAACTGATTCCCAAGCATGGAGCAGACCAGTACCAGGCCACAGAACATTTGTTTCCAGTAGGGGCAATATGGCGATACCATATGTATCACAATACAGGGGTTGCAATTTAATATATTACGATTCTCTAAGCAAGGCGATATATTGCTATTAAAAAAAATCTAATTTCTAAAAGTGTGACACCATATGCATAAAATCAGAATTCTGAATCTAAGTTGTACTGTACTCTTGTACGTCAACAACATACAACACCACATTGCAGAAACAGTCAAACTAGGCGAGATATGGCAAAAAAATTGACATATTCATTGGTTTGTCAGGGATGAAACAAGCATTTTCTCACCCTCGACACCCAACGTCTGTCAATCAGGACGTTATCCGGCTGATAACATCTGGTTTAATCCCAGCACTAAGTAAAACACAAGCTGCAGCGCAAGTAGGACAGATGAACGCCCTTAACTGTGATATTTAAAACTCAACGGATAGATAGAGTTTGTAATAATGTAGCCAGTAAAAACAAAAAACTCATGGCTGGGGAACCCAGCTTTAGAAGCCGCATAAGGACCAGTGGGAAACCCAAAGAGGAACTGTATCGGGCAGGGGTTCCAAAACCTTTTCATCTCAAGGATGCCCACGATAGATTATGTCTTAAGGAATCCTCTCTGAGTATTTTTTAATTTTTAGGTTCACTGTGGTTTAAGATCACTATAAACTACAATGAAAATGGCCAATCCTCTCTTTCTTTTCTGCCAAATGGAATAAAAGTAAAAATATTCTCTTCCTTGTTTTGTTGGTCACCCCCCTACAATCAACTCTGGGTCCCCCTGACAGTCCCTGACCACAGTTGGAAAACCATAGGTATAGGGTATACAGTTCAGTTCCTATAGTACACTGTAATATAACAGTATATGGGCCAAGCAAACTGATCCCACAACCCATTATGTTGCACTGAGTAAAAGAGGGTGCAAAGAAGTCTGTTTTTTCTGCAGATAACCATATCAGGACAACTAATAAAACTATTGTTAGATAATAAAACATTAATCACTTCTATTTTAATCTATGACTATACTAAGAATCATTCAGCAGTTTAAACAACCCCAGGAGGACTCCTTCAGCATAATAAACTGTGACATCCTCACCATTTGTTTCCAGTGGTGTTTCACAGAGGCATGTCACCTCTTGACCTCCCAGCAGCTCGGGTTTAAAAGCACATCCTCCTGGACACAACCTGCAACACAAAAGGAAAGAGAAGATACATCAGTACACTATGACACCTAGAGTGATTTATGCAGCAAATACAGAGATGACAAACCTCCGCCTAAAGGACATTACTGCAGACCAACAACACGCTCTGACAACTTGTATTTTTTGGCATCACTGCAGTCCATTAAAAGTCGTGGGAAGCTCATACCCATTGAAATTCCTGTCAGACCTGTGTCTGACTGGCTACATCCGTTTTTTGGGAGTAAAAAAGCCCTCAGCAGAGGCCAAGTCAAGTAGTGTCAGTCCAAGAGGGCTTTCAGTGCCACACACACTCTGCCCCACTATACAATCCTCCCTCATTGCTAGGATACAAGGTACAAAACCCTTTGGTTTCACAGTCCCTGCCAGAAAAACAAGCTGCTGTGAGGTAAAAGAAGATGGCATGAGAACCTTGAGAGGGATAGCATTCCCTTGTTTTGGCACCTGAATCTGTGGTTTCACACTTACTTTGAGAAATACTGTAACGTCTCTTCAGGTTATGACTGCTAAATTATACTCAGTTCTCCATTTCATTCCATATACAGTATATCCTACTCTTTCCTGCTCAATATCTCCCTCCTCTTTCTATCAACCTCTCCTCCTCCATCGCCTCCCAACACTCCATCACTTGCAAAGAAGCAGGATTATCTCTTACGGGTTTAGGCGGATCTCCAGTGGACTTATCCAAAGGGAAGGTTGGAAAAAAAGACGAAGACAGACTGAAAAAGACACTATTCACCTCACTGAACAGGCCGATCCTCATCCAGTGTACACACACACACACACACACACACACACACACACACACACACACACACACACACACACACACACACACACACACACACACACACACACACACACACACACACACACACACACACACACACACACACACACACACACACCTCTTTCCCTGCCACAGTAGGAGCACTAGAAAGCTTGCTTTGTTGGTGGCAATCTCCTGTGTGTGGGAATGAGGGTAAAGGCCTGGCAACAGGCCAAAGATGGAAAGAAAGGATACAAAAAAAAACTACTGGAGCACAATAATTATGATCACTGTTATCGATATCATTTCAACCAAATGCTACTCGGCAGGAAATTCCCTGCAAATACTTTTTTTTCACTCAATGGCATGCTCATGTAGAACTACCTTCAGTTCCAACACAAGCAGAGGGCCCTGTGCAAGCAGACTGACTGAAGCCTCTGTGACCGACCTCAAAATCATCAGATCTAAACCAAAAGACAGATTTTGTCCTTTGACCCCTGGGGGTGGGGAGAGCCAGTTTTCAATACTTGGTTCAAAGCTGCAACTCTGAGGCTAAAGAGCCTGAACTCTGCAGTCAGCATGTCACGACTCTCTGGTGGAAAAAGCGCTTTACAGCCCTGTGCAGATAATCCTGAGAAAGCAGCGGTCCGGAGCCTAACGGAGCACAGGCAGGAATGACTGGCATGTTAACTCGTAGAAACACTAGTTCAACAAATACAGCACTTCTCCTGTTTCCTCCTCTAGCCGACAGCTTCTGCAAGCTTCATGTATAATACTCCATCGTGGGTGACAATGTCCGATTTGAGCACAGGGTTGTCGTATCCAATATCTCTCAAAATTTGTAGGCTGTCATCCATTCATCCAAGATTAACAGGCAAGTCAGGTCCTCATCTATCTTAATTTGCTGAAAGCTGCAAATCAAATAGCCAAAAACTACAGTAAACTGGGCTGCCGTCACTCCGGGCCAACCTCATTTGGAAGAGGTTTCCCTTTCCTGCAGTGAATAATCCAATCAGACTCAACTTCATTCAGAGTTTGAGACACATGAGAACAAGAGAATGGACTTTGATTCAATTCTCTCACGTTAAAAATCACATTTCGCCTCAGAGTGGAAGTCTTTTTTTGGGGGGTGACTTCAGCAAGCCAAAAGGTATAAGTCTGATGAGAAGAGAGAGAGGAAATGTTTGCCTGTAATTGCTTTATCTTTACTTCTAGGTAATGGACTCCAATGTGTTCCAGCACTGGCTGCAGAAATAGTAACTTAACTCAGTTCATATGATAGGATATAGTGTGTATTCCAAGAAAATACACAGGACAGTTTGACAAATAAAACTTGATATATGAAGAAGGCACATGAAATAAAGCTGGTACATTAGGTCAGGACACATTTCAAGATAAGTGACACTATAACTCCTGATGAAAAAGCTGAATGCGAGCATTAGTCCACCCTGCTGTGTGCCACAAATGCACTTTATTATGCTATGCATCCTTATCAGTAGTCAACACAATGTTTTTTACAAACAGAAAGGCATCGTGTCCATCAACAAACTGCAATGTAGTTCTCCTGGGAGGTTGCTGACACTTTGCTCAATGCAGTGGGATTCTTATCACATGGGATATGCTAAAAACAAACGTGTTCTAAGGCTTTGTTCAGACAGACATTAACACTATGTGAAAAAAAATGCAGCCCCCTCTTTAATTTCAATGACACCAGCTCACTGCAGCACTGTGTTGGAACAGCATATAATTCTAGGGGTAGAATTGCACACTGCGCCAACACACACCCTGTTTACCTGGAAGTTATAGCAGCTAGACACTTGAAACCAACTGTTACCTGAATAAAATGACAGATTTCTCTGGGTTCGAACATTGTGGGAAACATTTGGAATAAGGTAAGTACACAACTCAACTACGTAAAGAATATAGCTCTAGAGTTTATAGAAATTTTAATGTGGATATGTTACATATTATAGCTAATAATATATAGGGATGCACGATAATTATCGCGGTAGGTAAATTATCAGCCAATAGAGAGAAATTTAGATTATTCTGAATTATCAGGATAATTAAGTTACAGATGATAAATGATGGGTCCATAATAATAGATTTCTTTATACACTCAAATATTAATGTTGGTACCTGCCTTAAAAATCCAGCAGTGACGGGCTACAGTGTGGTATGACTGGTTCAGGGAGACACTGTGGTGGGATTGGTGGGGTAGTGCTGAATCATCTAGACCTTCTAAGGTTGATGTGTTATATATAAATTCACCAACCATGTTGCTCCCCTTGCCCTTGCCCTTGCCCTTGCCCTGACAGAGTTCAGCTGGTAGCCAAAGATCCGTTCAGTCATTCAAATTACTGATTGGTTCATGTTGAAGAAGGCGGGGCCATGCCAGACTGATGGATCATGGGAGGATGGTTTCAACAAAGCTTTGAGACTGGACCAGTATTACAAAGGAAGGATTAAGTGTAAATGCACTTCTTAACTTGTACTAATGTACTGTTCAGAGGACAGGTAGTCGAGGGGATCGTATCAGGCTGACAGAGCAGCAGGGTAGAAACCCTATACGACAAACTAAAGTCCACCAAACTCAACCCAGCACAAATGAACCGGACTGGGGCCGGAGCTGCAGCCCAAAGACTCCCCGGCACAACGAAGCATTCCTGAGAGGCACATTCAATTGAGCCATCATCCGCTTCATTGAGTCCAGCCTTTCATTCATTTTCAATTCAACTATCCTACATTCTGCAGGAGACAGAGGGGGACAATAGCGGGGAGGGGGGACGAAGCATATCTGAAGTGAAAAAGCTGGCAGAGTGACATTAGTGGACAGAAACGGGGTTACAGGAAGATAATGGTGAAAGGGGAAGACGGGGTGAGACAGGGAAGGGTTGGGGACGGTGAGGGGAAATCGGCACAAACAAGTGCTTGCAAGCCTCAGTGCTCGCTCAGAACTGATGGAATGTGACTAATGATAATAAGCTAGAGAGAGAGAGCGAGGGGGGGAGAGAGAGGGAGGAAGACAGAGAGAGAGAGAGAGAGCCAGCGAGCCAGCGAGAGAGAGAGAGGAGGTGGCCATTAATTATAGTGCCTACCCATAATGCCCCATTCAACACCCACTCATTGGCAGAACAAGGAGGAGGGGAAATAAAGCAAGTTTCTAATTAGTGACATGATTGTAAGCATAAACACACCAACGTGCGCACTCTCTCTCTCTCTCTCTCTCTCTCTCTCTCACACACACACACACATAATGAGAAGTCCTCCTCTGTACACTTTAAACAAATAACCCCCCCACCCCCACCCCCCCCCCCCACACACACACACACACACACACACACACACACACACACACACACACACACACACACACACACACACACACACACACACACACACACACACACACACACACACACACACACACACACACACACACACAGGGGAATAGTGGGACTCAGCAAGGCCTTGAGTGAACGCAGCCATCTGCAATCAGTCACTGCCTTTACATCAACAAACAGTGTTTACAAAGGATGCTTTAGTGGCTGTGAGAGCCCGTGGTGTTCAATTACACAAACACTAGCCGTCAACATCCTCCTCCTGCTTCTCCACAACGCAACTGTTACTGCTGTGATATAAGAGCTCTGTAAACCATTAGGGATACTTCGGAACACCTAGCAGGAAGGACACTGGGCCTGCAAATGTTCACTATTGTCCATGTAGTCAGAACATATCAGACTACAAGAGCTTGAAGATCCCCTCCAGACATGTATTACAGCATAAACAAATGTCAACTTGGAACAGTAATATTTGTCTGATATGGTTTCCCACATAAAAAGTTTAATTTCCACATTAAAATCCACAAAAAGTTGTCTCCTCCTTCAACCTCATTAGAACTTCCAGAATCTCTGAATATGGAAATTCGAAAGTTTCTAAAGTTTCCCAGCTGGACACAAGATGTCTCCTCCTTCACTGTAAAGTCCATTCTCAGTGGATGTGCACTGGTGGCTTCAAGTTTCTACATCACACTGTACAAGTTGATAATGGACGGGACCTGGTAGGCTCCGCCCCTTAAAATCAGATTTTTCAAAGAGCACAGAGAAACTTTCCACTTTCAGCAAACAAATGTTAAAACAACTCTGCACATACATCATTCAAACAGCACACTGTCGGGACAAGGAGAAACACTGATTTCTGACAGCCGATCTTCCATT